TAATAATAATAATAATAATTTTTAAGTAAGAAAAAATAATAAAAAAATAAAATAGTAAAAAACTAACTCATAATAATAATAATAAGTTAATAGCGTAAACATATAATATCATTACAACACTATTAACAATTGATAATAATATTAAAAAAATAATAATAATAAATAAAAACAATATTAATAATATATATAAATAATTACTACAGGAGCGCCAAAAAACAATGTAGTGGCAGTTTTTCAAATCACAGCCTCGGCTGAGATTGTCTTTTTTTTTTTGTTTTAGTTTTTCTTTAATCTGACCAAAAGCATATAAATAAATAAGAAAAGGAAAAACAAATAAAAATATAAATAATACATCGTGTTGTGTTGTCATACATCAATTAAGTATCGAAATTATTATTATTATGATTATTATCATCATCCTGACACGTGGAAATATACAAATTTTCATTTATTTATTTATGTGGAACTTATTAAACGCGATTTGAACACAAAGAAATATTATTATTATTATTATTTTCATCACCATAATCGTCGTCGTCGTCGTATTAATTTTTCTTTAAAAATTTTCCAAAATTATTATCATTTTTTTTTAAATATTTTTTTTATTCTTAAACGACCATATAAGAATTTGTTTATATATATATATTTATATAAATTTGAAAACTTTAATAAATTATTATTATTATTACTTCCGTTCGGTACAAAAAAATTTTCTCAAATCCGAAAAGAGAACTCCTCGTGTGTGTATGTATATAAATATTTAAATTTTCAACTGTAAAAATAATTATTTAATATTATTAATAAATAAATAAATAAATAAATATATTTTTCTCTCTCACTTCCTCACATTATTTTAAAAAAAAAAATGTAGTCGTCAAAACGGAAATGACGTCATTTTAAAAAAATTTATATGGTGAAACGCAACGTAAAAATAATTTTTCTTTTTTCTTTTTCTTTCTCCCCACCCCCTCGCGTTAAATTTTTTTTAATAATAATAATAATAATAATAATTGTTATCGTTAAATATTATATCTGCATGTACATAAATATATATATTTAATTAATTAAATAAAATGAAAAATATAACTTTTTTTTTTTTTTTTAAACTCCCTGACAATTATTTCTCTTTCTCTGTTTCTATACAAAATTGGCAAGATTATTTTATAAAAAATTTTTTTTATCATTATTATTATTTAAATATACATATATATATAATCAATTTAATTTAAAATAATAATAATAATAATATCTGAATCTAAGTAATAATAATTATGTATTTTTTCATACTATAAATATCAATAATAAATATATATATATATATATATATATATATATATATATATATATATATATATATATATAGTGCATATTATTTAAATATATAGTTTTTTTTTTTTTTTTTTTTTTTTAAAAAAAAAAATTTAATAACTTATTGTACTTTAAGTAAACGAATTATTTATATATATAATTACAGTATTAATAATAATAATAAATGAAATATTTCTTCAAACTGTATGGAGAAAAAAATTAAAATTAAAAAAAATAACGTTAAATAATTTTTAATACTGACTTTGATAATGAAATTATTATACGGATTTGAATTATTATTATTATTATCATTATTATTGCCATCATCATCATCATCATCATCATCGTTATATTCATCATCGAATTACGAATGATAAATAATCGTTTGATTATTACTATTGTAAATGATTCGTTTTTTAATAAGGAAAAGTTTAGTTAAGATCATGTACCTGTTTTCCCACGACTGGAATTTTGGAATTTCTGGAAAACACACAGGGATGATCCTGTTAAAATTGTATTTTGTGCGTAATTTTAACTAACAAAATGTTTTAAAAATTTTTAAACAGAAGAAAAAGCGATCGGTTGGTAAACCTGTTCAAGAAAATTAGAAAATCATTTCCATGAGATTTGGATTGGACAAATAAGAAAAAAGGTACTTAAAAAGGGTATTAAAAAAAAATTATTTAAAGGTTATTTGGCACTTTGTGTGAACCTGTATTGGGTATGAAAATTGTATTTTTTTGGAAATACCGGATGCAGTTGGAAAACCACCGGAAAAATCACCATCAAAACGACATCGAAAAAAAATTTTTTTTTTTTAAAAAACATAATAATGTGCGTAAAAATCTGATAATTGAAGAAGAAAATTGTTCGTCATTAGAAAAAATTAAATAACAATTAAAATGATGATGATAATGATCATATTAATAATAATAATAATAATAACATCATTCATGCATATTTTATATATATTCGTAATTTCGAAAACAGAATTTTTCCCGACATTTCCACAAAATTTAAATTTTTTGTAATTCGACGACTACGACGACGACGACGAAAATAACAACAACAACAGTAATAATAATAATAATAATAATAATATATATTTATTATAATTATTTTCTTAGCCTTTAAAGCCTTTAAGCGCCGGAATGATTTTAGTTCTTTCTTTGGAGAGCAATTCGTTCAAATGGGGCAGTGAAAAAAAAGAAAATTAATTATCCGTCACTTTTCATGTTAATATATATAAATTTATAAATTTTTTTAAAACTTTTATTTCGTTTCAAAAATAAAAATAAAAAATAATAATAATAATAATAATAACAAAGAAGAATACTGTGCGGCCCACATTAAAAAAAAAAAAAAAAAAAAAAAAAAAACAATTTTAAATCATACGATGAAAGAACGGACGTGGTTATTCATAGTTAATATCATCATCATCATCATCAGACGAAAACAAAAACATAAAAATTAACTAATAGATCAAGTTCATGCACGGTTAGGCAGACCGAAAAATTAAAAAAAAAAGAAAAAATTAGACAAATTATTATTATTATTATTATTTTTTTTTTTGTGATGGCCAAGGCCAACAAACGTTTTCCCCTTAAATTAATGATTATTCATGCCTGATGTCACTAAATCGTGGTAGAAGATTTTTTCGTCCATTAAAAAAAAAAAAAAAACGGCCTCAAAAAATTTTTCTTTATAAATTAGCAATAGTGCGTTGTCTATTAATAATAATAATAATGATGAAAAGTCACACACATCCGCGTAAACAATGAAAAAAGAAAAAGAAAAAAAAAGAAAAAAAATCATTAACAAATATTAAAAGCATCCTTTACAAAATATATATATATATAACAATATTTCGGTAATTAATTAAATAATAATAATAATAAGTAATAATAATAATAAAATTAAAAAGTATTAAAAACTTATCTTAACGAATCCGTTTGATTAAAATACATATATATATATATATAAATTGTTTCTCCCAACATCATCATCATCATCATCATTATCACTCCAGGTACTAATTCCAACTCATAATAAGAGGTCAGGTCATTTTTGCAAAAAAAAAGAAAACAAAAGAAAAAAAAAAAAAGAAAACATATAAGTACAAAACGCCAAATAGTAAGTTTTCAACAAATCCCCAATAATAATTTTTTTTTTTTTTTCAAAAACAAACAAAAATGAACTCAAAAATATATATATATAAACACGTGGAACGCACACGTACACACGCACACACACTCCCACACACTCATTATACATATAAAAACGTCAAAAAATTAAAAAAAAAAAAAAAAATTAAATCTCATTTTCCCGCCATTTTTCTCAATGTGAATATGTAAATAAGTACATAAACACTCACCTTGTAGAAAAAAAAGAAAAAATGCATCGGAAAATTAAACTACTACCAACTGAACAAAAAAAAAAAAAACATAAACATGATCAATAAATATTATTTATATATATATGTGTGTGTATATATCACTGTTATAAAAATATAATCTGATGAGAAAGAAAACAGAAAATTAGCGTGTTATATGAAAATAAATTTTTTTTTTTTTTTTTTTTTTTTAGCCCGAAAAGCTAAAACTAAAAAACTAAAAAACTAAAAACAAAAAAAAACCTTCTTGGAAAAAAAAAAGTGTTTCGATTATACATCATCATGAGGGGAGTCAAATAATAATATTAATAATAATACTTTTTACACAACCTATATAACAAAAAAAAAAAAAAAAAAAACGTAACAAAACATAAACTAATTTCTCTATCTTTTCTCTCTCTCTCTCTCACTCTCTCTCTCTTTACTACTTCCTTCCTTTTTTTTTTTTTTTTTTGCTTTTTAAACTTTTCATAACAAGTATAACATAAAAAAAAAAAAAAAGATTCTACAACTGTTGTTGTTAAGAGGTCGGCCATAATTATTAATTAGTATTAAAAAAAAAAAAAAAAATGATAATAATAATTAATGCCTTCTTTCCATCTATCTCACTCTCTCTTTCTTTTTCTCTTTCCTTAGGAACAAAAATACTTGATAAAAAATTAATAAAAAAATAATAAAAAATAAAAAAACTTACACGTAGACAAATTGTAAAATTATATATCAATAAACAATCAATCAATCAATCGATAAAAAAAATTGAAAAATTTGGTACGAGGTTTCTGCGAATACTTTTTAATTTGAATTTTTTTTTTTAAAAAAAAAAAAAATAAAACTTTCTTAAAGCAAGAACAATAAACAAAACTAAAAAACTAAAAAACTAAATAAAAAATAAAAAACTTGGTCATGGTTATAATATATATATATACCAATTCGATTCTTACAAACTAACTAATAATAATAATAATATATATATAAATATATATGTATATATATTAATAATAATATAATAGCTAACATAATATTAAATAATGCAATTAATTTAGGCAGAAATCTCATGCCAAACATTAATCAATCAATCAATCATCAAATCAATTCATATATATTAATTATATATATATTATATATAAGAAAAAAAAAACGGAAAATAAAAAAGTAGTCTTTTCGTTCATTTTTTTTTTAAGTTTTTAGTTTTTTAGTTTTTTTTTTCTTTTTACATTTAACAGAAATGATAGGCAGAAAATTAAAAATTGGGGGGGGGGGGGTTTGAAAAAACGAGTGAGCTATATATATATATATTTTCTTAAGATAATATACGGATTGCTTGACATACTGTGCGAGAGCATATGGGGCAAGCGGGTTCGGTTCCCTCGCAAAGACGAGTAGCACAGTCTAAACAAAATAAATTGTGACCGCAAGGAACGAGAGCAGCGTTGATTTCCTTTTCCGCGCATACCAAGCAGTCTCGTTTGGTACCCAAACTCATGCCTGTGATGCTGGCAAGGGAATCAGTGGGAGACGCGGAAGCCGTGGGCGAGGGCCTTGTTGTTATTCCCGTTGTGCTTGCCGACGATGGAAACGACCAAATATTCGATGAGGTAGTTGTTGTTTCGAAACCGGGGGATTCTCCAATCCCTTCGTCGCGTTCTAAACTCGAATTCCAAATCGAAACGAGATCACCGATTCGACCCCCGTTCGACGATGAACTGCTGTTCGAGCTAAGAGAACCGGATGAGCTAAAAGCTCCCGAACTGGCCGAGGATGTAAGAGAAGTCGGATGAAACATGTTAAGGGCATCCGAATTCAGAGTCGTGGAATTTGTGTCGGAAGGTTCTAAACAACTAAAAAGGCTTCCCAAACCAGTCTTGTACAATGATGCAAGTAATTCAGAATTGTCTTCGATCAAAGGTGCCCCCAATAGATCGGCCATGTTCGTTCCGTTCAACGTTCCCGCTCCCGTTCGCATCGCTATATGCGCTTCGATTTCCCTTTTGGCAACTTGAACGTTTTCGGGCAATCCGCTCACTTCGAAAACGGGTTCTTTGTCACGCGAGGGAGTTACTATGTAAGTGTGTGTTTGCTGTTGAATTCTTTTTATTGTGGCGCCTTTGGGTCCCACCACGAGACCGACAACTCTATATGGCACCCTTACTTGAATTGTGACTTGACCGGGGATATTGGCAGGAGGTCCGGGGGGTGACAAACCTCCGAGTAATCCGCCCAAATTAGTCTTTCTCGAAGCTCTGATTTGTGAAAAGTGTTCCGCTGCCGAAAGTATTTCACGTTTCGCCTTGGCCACGTCTTCCTTCCTTCCCGTCACAACGAAAACCGGTTCCTCTCCACGTACGGGCGTTTTGATGTAAGTGTTTGTCTTTGCTCGGAGTGCTTTTATTTTACACCCTGAAACAAAAACAAAACGGAAAAAAACGTTAGTTAATTTTTTAAAATTATGTAAAAAAAAACTTTAATATTCCGTGTGTGTATCGACAAAGAAATTTTGACCCTGGAAATAATAATAATAATAATAATAATAATAATACTACGACGTTTTCACCGTGAAAGCAGATCCGTATATAACCTTTTGTTGATGAAATTCAACAACCACGAATTCTCGTTTTCTCTTTAAGTAAACTAAAACTTGTAATGGTCACCACCACCGCCACCACTACCGCCATCTTATATTCTTTTTAATATATACATTTATTTATTTATTTTTTCTTCTAGTTTTTTAATAATTTGATTATACCGTCTCTGCGAGTAATTAGGATTCATTACTGTCTGAGTTTACATAGAACAGTCTGTGTCACGATACATATATATGTGTACAAATACTAAAAATAAAACTAAATAATTGAAAAAAAGGGGATTTTTTTTCTTCTTTTTTATAATTTGGGGGGATTCCTCGCGCGACAGCGTGTTAAACAATCAAACAGAATAAATTTCTTTAAAAAATTATTATTCTTAAATTTTTCAAATAATTTAATTTGCAAAACAAATTTAAATATTTCTATCATCATCATTTTATAGAAGGTAGTGTACACACAACAAACAGATGGAATGTTTTCCAAAAAAAAAAAATTTACACCCCTAAACAATAGAAAAAAATTGTAATAAAGGAGAGGGATGTAATGAAAAGAAATAAAAATAAAAAATAAAAAAGAACAAAACGATGACCTCAAAAAAAAAAAAAAAAAAAAAATTATCTTTTTCTATGATGAACAAGAGAGTCTTTTAATGAAAAAGGAAAGAAAAAAAGAAAAAGAAAAAAAAGAGAGAGAGAGAAAGAAAAGAAATCAAAGAACTAAAAGAAAAAAAAAAAAAAGAAAGACGACGACAATGAAAATACAAAACTGTACATTTACAAATGCCCCGTAAGAATTTTAACAAAGGGGGAGAAATAAAATAAAAAAAAAAAAAGAAATTTTAAACCCCTAAAAAAAAAACTACCACCACCACCACCACCATCACCGTCAAACAAACCATTTCAGGTAAAGGTTACTTCTTGGAAAAAAAAAAAAAACTTTAAAAAATAAAAATAAATCCAAGTCATAAAAAAAAAAAAAATTTAAAATTCACGCGTTTATAGCAAGTTTTTTTTTTTTTTTTTAAATATTTGGATTTCTTTTAAGGGTTTCTTTTTTTTTTAAGGGTGAAAACGTTTTTTTTTTTTTTTCGGTTGGTACAATAACAAAACTACCTACTACTAAATAATTTTTGTTTCACAAATGAAAATTTACACTTCACACAATAAAAAAGAAACAAATAAGGTTGACCTTTTAAGAGATTTTAAATAATAATTTACAAAACTCGAGGGTCTATAAAAGGTTTTACTTTTCTTTTTTATTTTTTTGCTGCTGTTTTTAGTCGCATTGATTAATTCCCTCCCCTCTCCCCCACCTCTTTAACCACCTAACAAAAATTTTAAAAAATTTTCCTTTTTTTTTTTTTTATTTAAGAAGAAGAATTATAAATGCGAATAATTAAAAACAAAATCAATAAACGAAAATTTCCCCCGCCCCGTCCTCCCGTCCTCCACTTTTTTTCTATACATGTTATATATATACTTTTATGGCTTCTTTTTAAATTGGGGAGACACATTTCGAAAAAGACAAAATTAAAAAATAAAAATAAAAAACGAAAAAAAATAATTTAATTTTTTTTTTTTTTTTAAAAAAAAAAGGATTTTCATTATTTTTCTTACTGATCACATGACCTGAATTTACCAAAAAAAAAAAACAAACAAACAAAACAAGTTTTTATGCGTTTGTATATTTCCAAATGCAAACTTGTTGTTATTGTGCGAAAATTACAAACGAACAAACAAACAAACAAAAGTATGGATAAAAGGTGATGGAATATCATTTTAAAAGCGAGCTTTCAAATTTAAAATTTGGCGGGAAATTTACAAAAAAAAAAAAAAAAAAAAAATGGCCGAAATAAAAAAACATCAAATTATAGAGAGTGAAAGTTAGAATCGCATAATTAAAAGTTTCAAAATTTTCTTTTTTCCAAAGCTCAAAGCCTTGGAAATGTGAAAATGCCAAAAAATTTACATAAATAACCGCGTAGAAAAAGAAGAAGGCATACTCATCATCTATATGCATTAAAATATTCGGAGGTCCACATATCTCTCCCCAAAAAAAAAAAAATTTCCCTTTTGTTTCTTGTTTTCTACAACCGAAATTCCCCCCCCCCAAAAAAAAAAGAAAAACCGCAACGCACGATAAAAGGAAAACCGTAGACAATTACATTGGGAAACAACAAGACAAAGAAATTGTCGGTCGGTCAGTTTGTCCGACCTTCAACTGTAGCACCCAAGTATGTATATAATGATGGTATCACACACTTTGGTGGGGGAACCATCCTCGACTCTTTCGAAGGCCTCTCTCTCTCTCTTTTTCCATACAAAAAAGAACTGGACAATGTTCTCATATCACGTGGCCTTCATTTTTTCTTCTTTTTCTTTACTCACGAGAAAAGAATAGAAATAAAAAAAAAAAAAATACCGGAAACCACTCAAAAAAATCTCTTTTTTTTTTCTTTCTTTCTTTCCTCCAAAACAAATCATTTCAGGTATTTCCGCTTCGCAAATAAAAAATAAAAAAAAAAAGGTTTTATTTTTGTGTTGTACAAATCATTGTACATTTTAAAAACATCTGTTATCGAAATTAAATGTGATTAAAGTACACGATTTTTACTGTGCAAAAAAAAAAAAGAAAAATAGGTACCTGAAACCGAACAACAAGATGAAACCAAATAATAATAATAATAATAAAATTCTTTAAAATCATTTTCTCAGGTAAAAAGAGTTTCTTTTTTTTTTTTTTGGAAATCATTTAATGAATTTTTTTTTTATCTTTCCTTTCATTTCTAATATTTTCGGTTCGGTTTTAAATAAAAACTCGGCATTTTTTTCCTTTTTCCTTTTTCCTTTGCCATACACCGGCATAACCAAAATATTTTAATTGATACGCGCTCGCATTCCTTTTTTAAAGAAAAAATGCGCATAAATAAATTGGCTCGAGTCTTGGCATATTTTAGCGCCATAAAATTCGATTCAAGGAAATACATCTTAAAAAAAATTTTTTTTTTTTAATACGATTCCATCGCCCATAAGTTCACGCACACGCACGCACGCACACACGCACTCACGCACCGCCGCCTAGGATGAGTCATTTTAATTGCCGTGGTGTCACAATTATATTTGCGTGGGAGATGATGCCATTACAATCGTATTTATTTCCCGGCTTGAAAACTTATGGAATATGTTTTAAATCCGTAATTCTAAAACCACGTCAATCTCATTTACCAAAAATGTGACCCACATATTAATTACTAAACAAAAAAAATAATTACGACGACGAAATTTCATCAGTCGAACGTTTCGTTTCCTTTTTTTTTTTTTTTTAAATACCAAATATAACAAAACGTTAAAATGAATATTGATCCGACATTTTGAAATTAATTCGAAAAACGCGCCAATTGATTGTTTTTTTTTTTTTTTTTTCGTCTACGTACTAAAATCTGTAGGAGAACCAAAGACTCATATAATAACTCCTCGTTTAAGCGCCCCGCACATTTTTTTTACGACGAGAATAGAAATTTCAAGGTTTTTCAATGAATTCAAAAAACTTTTAAAAACAAAAAGTAATAAAAATAAAAAAAATGAATAGATTTTCGTAAAGGGTTTTTCTTTCGTTTAACTACAACTACAACAACTACTACTACTAATTCCCTCAAGATTCCCCTTAAATTTCATAACATAAAAGGGGGGCACCATTACTAAAAAGGTCAACGTGTGTGTGTGTGTATGCGCTTTTCCACGACAACTTTTCCACATTATTATTATTATTATTCATGGACCGATACATATAAATAACCAATTATTCATCAACGACACTCTTTTTTCCTTCCCCTTTTCTCCCATTCCTCCTACCCCCCCCAAGAAAAAAAAATGTATACATTTATACAAACTACTAATAAAAATAAAATGGAGTCACATTTTATATATTTTTATTTTTTTTTTTTTGCACAATAAAAAGAAAATGTTTTAAACTGATTAAAAAAGAAAATTTTTTATATTTCAAGGATAAGTCCGATAAAAAAAAAATTTTCTAAAATTCACAAATCTATAAAAATAGAAAAAACTTAAAATAATATGTATTGAGGTTGGTCAAGTTAAGATTGAGAGAGAGAAAGAGAAAGAGAGAGAGAGAAAAAACAAATATTTACATAACGCAAATTTTAGGCATGTCGAGTTTTCTTTTTTCTTTTTTGGTTTTGGCGCCATTTTAACTTAAACAAAGTTGTAAAACATAAAATGGCATTCGTTCGTTTAATAATAAATAAATACACATACACGTACACGTACGAGCACGTGTATAAAGCTTTCGATTGGAAATTTATCATTATTATTATTATTATTATTATTATTATTATTTAAAAATGGTGGCAATGCACTTTTCTTTTCTTTTTATCGATACGCACACAGTAAAATTTCATTTTTTCATCTTGTTAATTTACGAGATTCTTGTTTTTTTTTTTTTTTTTTTTTTTCTTTTTAATATAAATATTTCGATCTATAAATAAACTACTATTTAAAAAAATCGGGGGTGCATGTGGGGATTTTTTTTTTCCTTTCTTTCTTTCTTTCTTTTTAAAACGAAAAAAAAAAATGGAGAATGAATTGAATCGAGACGAAATCCTAAACGTAATGGCGGCGAAACAATAAAAAATTTTTTAAATAAATTTCAACTACGATTAGTATTATTCAATCGAAGGCCGAATGTGATGGTGGTGGTGGCGGCGGCGGCGGTGATGAAATTAAAATTTTGTGTCGTGATTTTCAACCCCCATCCCCACCCCACCCCCAATAACGAATCAAATTCTTAAAAAAAAATTGAAATTTTTTTAATGACTTAAAGAGTCTATGCATTATTATTATTATTATTACGGATAGTCGACAACGACAAAAACAAAGGTACGGCAATTAAGGCCGACGTCTCTCTCTCTCTCTCTCACTCTTTTAATAAATTGGAGAATTACTCTTTTTTTTTCTCTTTTTCCTTTCCCCGCTTCTTTATCATTATCATCATCATCATCATTATTTCAAAAGAACAAAGTATCTGAACCCACGAGTTACAAAAAAAAAAAAAAAATCTTTATTTACCGAGATACTTCCCAAAAAAAAAAAAAAAAACCTTGAACTCGGAGTTTTTGAAATAATAATAATAATAATAATAATAATAATCAAACTCTCATTTCCTCGAGTGAATGTCTCGACATTCCCAACTGGCAACCGCGTTGCCCAAACGTGTGTTCCTGGCTCATAGTCAATTTTCTATTCCTTCACAGACGTTTTATTATAAGAAGACGTGTCGGCGGAATACAATTTGAATATGTCTCTTTCGGGATACTATATATTTCCGCAGAGGAGAGGAGGAGGAGGAGAATACCCGTGACTAAAAATGAAAACTTGTCTATTGAAATTACTCGAAATGAAAGAGACAAAGAGAGTCAGAGAGAGAAAGAGAAAGAGAGAAGGAAAAAAAACAAACTCACGACACAATGATACCCGTCGTCGTCGTCGTCATCGTCATCGTATTCGCATTACAAATGAAAATGAAAGGCCAACAAAAAGAACGAAACGGATAGCTTTATCCATACTTAGACATAACCTCAAGTTCGAATTTTCGAAGTCGAGAGCCGTGTGAACCAAACATTCAAGGACACCTTCCTCCACACAAATTTCAAAGACAAGCAAACAAAGTAATATGGAAGATATTATGCCTGAATAATCAAAACAAAAAATAATAATAATAATATTTTGATGAATGGCTAGCCAGCCAATGGATTTTATTAAAAATTTCAACATTTTGATTTATCGATCGATCGATTAAAGAAGCCCAAGAAACGTAAAAATAAAGAGAAAAAAAAAAAAAAAAAAACAAAAAACAAAAAAAATAAAAATTCCAACAAGTATTCACACAGTTAAAGTATGGACTTTCTTTACTTATTTTGAATATCATTATCATTATTATTATTTATTTTTGTCTTTGCTACTACTTGTTCATTCTCGACTCCCACAAGAAAAAGAAAAGAGAGAAAAAAAAAAAAAAAAAAAAAAACGTAAATAAACCTTCAACCACTTCCATATGGCGCATCGTGACTCAAACACGTTTAAAATACATAACAGAATATATCGTCAAGGGAACAACGTACTAGTACTACGTTTTGGCAGTCAACCCATCTAAATCATCATCATCATCATCATCATCGTGAGGGCAGGAAGTGCCCTCGCCTACAAAACAACTCAATGCCCATTCATTCTCCTGCATTTTTTTTAAAAATTTATATATGTATTCCCGCTCATTTTTATGCGGTTTATATTTTTTATCTCGAACACGTTTTATTTTCCCACAGAATTTTTTTTTTTTTTTTTTTGCTAATTTTTCTTTTTGAATGAATGTCCTTAACGTCGAAACATTACGATGAATTGTTTTTGTTTTTATACAAATCAATAAATCGATACACGTTTAAAATAATAATAATAAATAAATAAATAAATAAAAATTATTTGAAGGTCCTCGGTCGAAAATTCAGTTAAGAAAACAAAACAAAACAGGAAACGGGATTCGATAAGTTTTTTTGTTTTTGTTTTTAATTAATAAAATTTCAAAAAACTTTATGTTATGTTTTATATATATATATATATATATATATATATATATATATATATATATATATATATATATATATATATATATTTTCGATCGATGTAAACAAAAATGTTTGTATGACGTAATCATCCAATAATTCAATAACAAACATGCACTCTGATATAAAAATAAAAAATTTTTTTTGATGAAACTAAATAAAGTTCTTAGCAACAACATTTTCCCGTATTGTATTCGCGTTTTAAATGTTTTTATTTGATTTAAAAAAAAAAAAAAAATAAGGGGGAGGGGATCCCAATAATAATTTCGATTTTTCTTTTTATGAAACAGAATTACAAATCATCACCGGATGTCATCTATCTATAAGAAATCAATACCATTTTTAGTTGTAATGTTTTCATATAAAAAATTTTTTTATAAAGTTGGTAGACCTTGTTGACGAGTTAAACACGTAACCATATAAGCAAAAAATTCAAATCCGTATAAAAAATGGATTCGAAATTAATATTTAAAGAAGAAAAAAAAAGAAAAGAAAATTATCGACGTTATTAAATAAAATATTCCTTCCCCCCACTACCCCTCCCCTACCGCCTCCGTCAGGTTTTGCAATTTTTTTAAAATTGCATTAGATAGACGTTGTCTATCATCGAGAGTACATTGTCCTGGGTCAAGGTTACAACAACTGGACTTAGTCATAGGCCTTCCTTTTCCTTCACCTTAACATTTTATAACTCTATGATGATGATGTTAGGAAGCAATGTCAAGGATTGAAAAAAAAAAAAAAAAAACTGCGCCATTTCAAAACAAAAACAAAAAAAAACCACAACAACAACAACAACAACCGAAACCGGAGGGGATTTTAAACAACCAACATTATTAATTCATGCAAATTCCAAAACCTTGTCAAAAATAAATAAATAAATAAGCAAATAACAACCGACTCTCGTGCAATATTCTAATCGTATATCTTTCACATAATAGATCGCACAATAACAATAACAACAACAACAACAAACAACAAACAACAATTTAAAGATTTTTTTTCCAATTATTAGATTGTGTGGCAACTCCTCTATATTGCCGGAATACATTAAAGAAAGAGAAACGTAGAACGAGAGACTAGTTAGTTAGTTCGTTGGCATTTGCTTTTTCCTCACATAATAACTACCCAAAAAAAAAATTCACAATGAAAAAAAATTATTAATAATTTCAACTCGGTTAACATCGATAAGCAAAGGATTGTACAGGCACGAGGTAAAAATACCTTCAGGTTCAAGGACACTCAAACTAATGACTAATTATCACTTCCTTTCATTAATGTAAGATTATTTCAATAGTTTTTTTTTTCTTTTTTTCTTTTCTTAAACTTTAAAATCATTTAGTTATTTACAAAATAATTAATGACCCATGTGTTTTAATAATAATAATAATAATAATAATAATAATGATAATAATAATAATTGACACAACTCCTTCAAGTATTTTTTTTTTATTAATATAATTCAAGCAGCAATAAACAAATAAATTAATGTTAAAAAAAAAATTTCTCATCAAAATAGAAAGTCACGTTATAAATTTAACTTCAATTATCTTCTCTCTCGTTTCATCATCGTAACAAACAAACAAACAAACAAACAAACGAACAAACAAAATCATCTCGATTAAAAATTTAAAAAAAAAAAAAAAAAAAAAAAAGAGAAACAATAATAATTTGAATACGCGATGTAGTTGGAAAATATCGTCATATACGACGTCACAATACGAATTTAAAATAAACGAACAAACATACAAACAAACAAACAAACGATCGATTGCAACAATAAATAAATTAATAAATTAATTAATTAATAAGAAAAACGACGGATTTTTGAAAATGCAAATGGATCGAATTCGAAAAAAAAAATTTCAAATCAAATATTAAATCGTCATTTCCGGAAATACAAACATTTTTTTTTAAATTCGTACGTTTTGCGATGGGAATCATACATGCATATCCGGTTTATTTATTTATTAATTTTTTTTCGTTATTCTCATTCATTAAAGATTTAAAAATGAATCATATATAAAATACATAAATAATCGAATAAAAATTTAAAATGTCTGATTGTAAAAAAGAGCAAACAGGAAATTTTAAATGAATATCGATAGTGAGAGAGAGAGAGAGAGAGAAGTATGTTTACACGAACGACGTGTGTGTGTGTGTATTGATGTTTAATAACAAATGTGGCAAAAAAAAAAAAAAAACAGGATAAAAAAAAAAAAATTAGAATAGGTGTAATTAGGTATGAGAGAAGGTTGGCCTCGAAGAGTTCATGAAACTCTCTCGAGGGATTCTCGGTTCGATCATACGAGTTCAACCGTGATGAAAGCCTACAGACTACAGAGCCTATTATTATTATTATTATTGATATTCCAGCTTCATTATCGGTTTTTTTTTTTTTTTTTTTTTTTTTTTAATGCCAATTAAACATTTTATTTTTTCTTCGAACTTTTCCTTTTAACTTTTTTAAATCATTATTATTCGACGTCAAATCAATGCTAAAATTTATTCTTACAGTTAAAAACGTCAATAAATATTAATAAATAAATAAATAAATTTAGATTTTTTTATTAAATACAAAACGGAAACTATTAAATTATAAGATAACGGTTTTTTTTTTTTTTTAAACAACCCTCACAACATTTTGTTAAAACACAACCTTCACGGATATTTTTGTTATTTGTTCTGGTTATTGTTACCCTTAAAAAAAAAAAATTTTTTTTTTTTTTTTAATCCAACCCCTAAAAAAGGTACCTGTTCTCCTTTTTTCTCGAAAATTTATCTCTCTCGTTTGTTTTAACTTTTTGTAGACATGTTTGTAACAAGTGATACTTAAATAAATTAATAAAAAAAAAAAATTTTATTTAAAAAAATATTTTTTAAACCGAGTTCAAAAAACTTATTCGAACGTATTAAAATCGTTTTTTTTTTTTATAAACAAAAAGTTTATTTGTTTATAAAAAAAAAAAATTTTTTACCACACATGAACGCATCATGATTTTATATCATCAGAGGAAGAAATCTAATAATAATAATAAAATCTACAATTTCGAAATTCGTGCTATCATAAGAGTAAATTAAACCAATCATTATTAAAATTTTCCCCCCAAGATTACTGTCGAAAATTAGCTACTGACAGCAGAAAAAAAAAAAACAAAAGACATTTTCAATATCCATCGTGATATCACACGCCCCAAATCGGGAAGTAAAATAGTCGAAAAAAAAACGAACATATCAACATTGTTTGAAATATTTAATTGTCGAAGAAGAAGAAAACAAACAAACAAACAATTGTTAAAGTTAGTTTGTAATCGGTAATCAGACAAACAAAAATACACAAAACATAAACGTTTTCGCAATGTTTTCAAATAAAAAATTTATTTTAATGAATGAGAATGAATTACGAATTTGTTGGCGGTTGTTAAAACAAACAAACCCAAATAACTTATAGGTAACAACAACAATAACATTTTTAGAAAGATTTTAAAGGAAAATAATTCGGAAAATGGGGGGAAAACACGCTGTCGGAATTATTTAAAAAAAAAAAAAAAATTAATACGAAAATCATTTTGTGAGAAAGAGATATAATAAGTCTGTGTAACCAAAAACAGATTTTATCTTTTTGTTGTTGTTGACATTAACTCGAAAATTCTTACAAAAAAAAAAAACATTTTCGAACAAGAGATCCCATTGTTTGTTACAATGAATTTTTTTTTCAAAAATTCACGACGGAAAATTTCGTTACCTTTCCTCCTCTTCCTCCCCCCCCAAAAAAAAAAAACTCGAATCTCTCGTTTTGCTATCAATTGATAACGTATAAAACTTTATAATAAAATTATCCGGAGGGGGGGAATAAATAAATAAAAATGTTTTCTAAACAAAACGTTTTGTTCGTTAAAAAAAAAAAAAATTCTTGTTTGTTTGTTCGTTTGTTCACTCGTTTGTACGTTTCTTCTTCCTTCAATCAAATCATAATTGAATATAGCAGAAGAAATAATAATAATAAAAAAAAATGCTTTTCGAGTTCGTTGTCGTCGATTTTAAAAATAAGATTTAGCTCGGCCACCACAAATTCAAATTCAAGGCCGTAAAGATAAAAATAATTATCTTTGAAAAGATTTGAAAAAAAAAAAAAAATAAAAGCAATCAATTACAAACTTTTTTTTGGGGGGTTTCAAGAGTAAAAAAAAAGGGGGGGGGAAAGGAAAAAAAAGGAAAACTTTTTTACGAACAAAACAAGGAAAGAAGCCTTCAAAAGTGAGTTTTTCCCCAAATTTTCCTTTTTTTGTTTTGTGAAAATCGAACAAATTAATTTAATAAAATTCGAATCAATTTCGAAAAAACTTTTTTTTCTGTATTGGCAAACCTAAGATGAAAATTCTTACCCCTTTCCTCTCGCAATTTCCCCCCCCCCAAACGTAAAACGTTCGTTTTGAAATCGCAGGAAAAAAGGAAAAAAGAAAAAAGGAAAATGACGTAATTCGCGTTGAAAAATTTATGTTTGGAAATTAATTCGAGCCCCCCTTTTGACGACTGGTATATCCCGGAGATGATCAGACAGATTAAATTAAATAATAATAATAATAATAATGATGCAATTTATGAGTATTAGGCAAAAGACCTTAATAAAAGTACGAAACGATTTACCCCCCTTCCCCCTACCCCTCCCCACGACTGGTAGCATATGAAACCCGTCTGATATTTTTTTTTTTTTCTATATCATTTCCATTGACATTGACTTCAAACAAGTTTTTTTTTTGTGTTGTTTGCCCATTATTTAAATTTTTCTTTAGACTTTTCTTTCTTTATCTACCTCTTATTACAATCACAGGTACAGGTAAAAGAAAATTTTAAAAATTTATACTAATTCTTTTATCATTATTATCATCATTTTCTTTTTGTTTCTTTTGCGGAAAAGGGGAGGAGGGGGAGGGGGAATCGTAAAACACGAATATTATATTTTATTCTCTTTTTGTTTTTTTGTTGTTCGGCGTGTAGATATTTATTGGAAAACACGATTTGTTCGGACATTTTCAAAACATCGAAACGAATTTGTAATTGCTACAAAAAACATTAAAAATCGTGATTTCGAAAAAAAAAAAAAATTTATATACACAAAAACAAACTATAATTCAAGGTTGAACAAATTTATATAATTGTTCTCTCTATATTACACCTCACTCAAGGGTCGTGAATCTATGTATGGCCTTTTCAAGCTTTCTAATGGCGTGAAAAAAAGAAAAAATTGTATTTACATACATTTCCTTAACACAACAACATTGACACTCTAAAGAAAATTTCAATTAAAAAATTCCTTTCTCCCCCGCCTTCGCCCCTACTCAAAATAAAGCAGACGAATAATAATAAAAACGACTACGAGAAATATTATTAATATTGTTAATATTTTATCAAATTAATAATAAAAAAATGGTTTTTTCGTCATTATGTTTAAATGTACGTGTTATACCACCACCACCTAGCACAGTCGCGTCTCTTCCGCCTGCCTCCCCCCTCCCATAAAGTCTGGAAATTTGACCTCTGTATTAATACAACCGTTTAACCTGGCCTTCACTTTGACTGAAACTCATAGGAGACACTGACCTCGTAAAATTATTATTATGCTCCTGAAAGTCAAGGAGTTCACAGACTACAACACACACACACACACACATATCGTCGTCGTCTTTTAAGCAACGATGTGTCATTGAAATAATAATAATAAAAAATTCTTCTTACGCCATAGTTATTATTATTACCAACATAATTAATTTTTTTTTTAGTAAATATTTATTAAAATCCAAAAAGATTATACGAAGAGAAAATTATTTATTATGACGGAGCTAAAAAGAGTTTTTAACACACACGCACAAGGATTTTGTATACGCACCGGAAATACGTAATAACTACGCTCGAAATTATTAGCCAATAGAGAGAGAGAGAGAGAGAGAGAGAGAAAAAAAAAATTACTTTACAAATCATTTCTTGTTAGCGTGTAATTTCTTTAAAAATAATTTAACGAAAAAGTAAAAATTATTATTAATTATCGGTGAGGGGGGTTCCCCTCCCTCCGATCCATTCATCATCGGAATATTTTTAGTAAAAGTCTATGGAAAGATTATAAAAATAATAAATGAGAAGTTTTTCTTTTTTTTTTTTATTAATTTTTGAAGAAATGAAATTTTCGTTTAATAAAAATATGATGCAACTCATAAAAATAAAATTCAAGGTTACTACTTTCCCTTATTATTATTATTATTATTATTATTACGATTATAAATCATTTAATACATTTCAGGTAAAAATAAATAGATCTTAATAACTTTTAACTTTTTTTTTTTAAAACTCATCTAACGCTCATTTTGTGTCACTGTTGTTGTTAAAAGAAAATGTAAGAAAACAAAAGTCAAGTTAAATGATGATTATTATGTCGGGTAACCAGACAACGTAACTTTTCATAATTATTCTTTCTTAAAGTTTTCCCCTCCTTCCCACTTTTCTAAATACGTAACAGAAGAAAAACAAAAGGTTCAACGTGGAGAACAAATTCAAAATATTTTTATAATAAAGGTGCAGCTAGCTAAATTTCCTTTCTTTCACTCTCTTTCTCGCTCTTCCTCTCCCTCTCCCACTCACTCTTCCACCGATATACAATTTTACTCATTTTTTAGGCGGACCTCACAAAAAAAAACTTAAACGAATTCTCTTTCGAGAGAATTAATGAAGCCTGAAAACCCGAATCGTGTCAATTCAGGTACATCAAGAGCTCAGAGTTTACACTATGATTATTTCTTTCAAAAGAAAAAAAGACGTGAACCCAGAACACTAGCCATTTTTTCCCCATTATGAGAGAGAAAAAAAAAGATCAAAAGAGAGTGTAAGTGTGCAAATTGAATGACGTAACAACAGCACACCCCCACCCCAAGGTTTCCTTTTTCCACCAATACTTAGGGGCGGTTTTCCATATTAAACAATTCAACAGTTGTAATAATCTAATAGAAAATTAACTACTACTATTTCTTAAAATTTCAAATTGGTTTAAAAAGCAACGAAATATCGGGGAACCCCCCTCCCTTTCAAACACAATAACTTACACACAAAGACAAATAAAAATTAAAAAATTAAAAAAAAAAAAAACCTTTTCTCTGGAGCGAAAAAATCTAAATATATAATTCATATCATCATTAACGACTCCAGACGATGACTATAACTTCTTATATTTTTTTCCCTTTGTTCCAGGAATGTATATATATAATATTATTGCGAAACGTTTTTTTTTTTTTTTTTTTTTTTTTTTAGAGTTTAGAGATCTTTTTAAAAATGAAATGACCTTCTACTATTTCTTTATTCATAACTTTATGAAATAATAAAGATTCATCTCTCTCTCTCTCTCTCTCTCTCTCTTTCCATTACGAAAAAAAATTTTATTATTATTATTAAACCGTTTTACTACTACATGTTCGTTTCTCTGAAGAACCAATACGATAATTGCACATTTGTAAAATAATATTTTCGAAAAACAGTTAAATAATAATAATGGACCGATCAACAAAAGAAAGAAAATGAGAAAAAATTGAAATTAAAAGCATTATTATTATTATTATTATTATTTAATATATCGTACGAATCCGCGTGTGTGTATGCATAATTTTCTTATAGTCTGGTTTGAATTACTTGCTTTTGATTATGTGAATAAGAATTGATACGAAATTATAAGAAAAAAAAAAAAAAACTAAAAGAAAAGTAAACGTCAAACTGGTTTTGTACTTGAAGTATCCTTCGCATTAACCTTCATTCACCAAAAGGCCAATGTACCCTTGCGCAATAGCTGACCTCGGAACTTGTATATAAAAAAAAAAATGTGTGTATGCGTGTGCGTGTGCGTGTACGTGTAGTAAAAGTTATCCGTCTGTGTGGGATCTTAGTTAGAAAATGGCAAATTTTTTTTACAAATTTGATTCTGACAGTGAAATGACACAAACAAACAAACTAAATTCAAATAGATGGCAAATATACGTTCCAGTAATAAAAAATAGAGAGAGAGAGAGAGAGATAGAGAGAGGGTAATAAAACTGTAACAAAAAAATAACCCAAAACGCCATTTTTATTCTTCGATATAAAACGTTAATAATTTATAGAATTTTAAAGGTGAGATACACGTATTTGTTGATAAAAACTTTTCGAATGGATTAGGAAATATTTCGATATAAGTTTCATCCCTCTAAATATTATTAAATTCATTTGTATTAGAGAGAGAGAAAGAGAGAGAGAGAGAAACTATTTGTAAATAAAATAATTTGTGATGATTTTATTGACGATTTATATCTATTACCACGTCATGACTTAACCAAAAAATAATAATAATAAAAATCGAAAGGTTTGTTTGCGCGTTTTAAAAAAAAAAAAACAAGAAAATGATTTTTTTTTTTGTTAAGGCAAACCTAAATGTAACATAATTATACAGGAAAGATCATGATTATGGCGGATGGATTCCAAATGTTACTACAACATTTCAAATCGAATACCTGAGAATAATTCGTGGGATCCAAAACCCAACCAGATTCATTTATTTCATAAAAACATTTTACTTTTCATTTCATTTGACAACTTGCTCAAGCAATCAAGTGCATGATTGTTTTTAAATATTATCATTATCATTGTTTTTAAAACAAACACAAACACAAACACAAACTTTTTTTTTTGTTTCACTCTCGCTATCATTTAATAATAGAAAACAAAATTTTTTTTCTTGTTATGTTTTTAAAAAATTATATTATCATAATTTATCCAATGTTTTGGCCACGTGCTTAAAACCGCCTTTTGACGTCAATTCAAAATTTTTCCCTTTTTTTTTTGGGGGGGGGGAGGGGAGTAAAAATGAATTTACTATTGATTAAAAAACATGGATGGCTACTATAGTATTTGGTGACGTTTGGTTCAAATGAAACAACCCTGAAGAAAATTTCAACCCCCATCATCTCACACAAGGGCATTATTTATAAGTAATTTACAATGGAATTAAATTAAATAATTAATAATTAATTAAATAAAATAATAATAATAATAATAATAAAACTTACCTTGGCGTCCAACAATTTCCGCAACATGTTCCGAACTAGGCACGGGAACACATTCCGTCATGTTTTGGCTCCTTTTATTTCTCACTTCTTCAATGATGGACGATGCAAATCCCACAGGATTTGACAGGGTTACATCCAAATTATCATCGGCAACCACACCGGAATTCGCCATTGTTGATGGCGATATGTGATCTAATCCCAACATAGAAAGTTCGAAAGCAAGTTGAAGGGTGCGTTCATCAACACCGTTACCCGCTCTTTCCATATCGCATAAATTCGCCGGCATTTTTACTTTTTTCCTTTCCTTTTTGATTTATATTGACGAGAATAATAAAAAACGAAAAAAAAAAAAAACGAAAAAAAAAAACGTTTTTCTTGCTGATATTACAATAATATTCCAATATAAATATATAAAACTCCAAATTATAATAAAACTCACTAATTAAAATGATAAAATTATTATTATTATTATTTGTAACGGTTATTTACCGTGTCTATAAAATAACATAAAACTTGCGATTAAAAATTATAATTTATAACGTTTTGGATAAAAACGATTATAATGTATTAAAATAAAATTTAAAAAAAAAAAAATAATAATAATTATTAAATATTTAAATAATTTACACCGAATATAAATTCACCATTTATTATAATAATAATAATTATTATTTTATTATTATTATTAGTCTCAACGAAAAAAATATATATAAAAAAATTATTATTAATTATTCTATTATTACTTTTATATAAAATTTTTTTTTTTTTTTTTTTTTAGAAAAATATTACTTAAAACATTTAAAACAAACAAAATTATTTAATTTAATTATCGAACTCAAATATATATAAAAAAAAAAAAAAAATTTTTTTTTTTTCCGATCTAAAACAAAATTATTTCACTTCACAAGATGTCACCTTACTCGAGAATTGTACCGCGTTTTGTGCATTCAAACCGGCATTGCGTTCTACCAAAGACCTGCAAAGGCTCTTTTTGAACATGTGCTCTCAACTTCGAGTCGAATTAACAATTAAACACGATTATCTCTCATGCTTACCTTACGGTCGATACATTCTATTTAAAATGATTTCATTTTTTACCCCGCTTCATTACTATCCAAAATTCGGCCCTTCCTTATTCTTATTAAATGGCGGCCGGAATGTTTAATTCATAACAAAATTAAGCTCGATATAATATATTATTATAAATAGTAAATTCGATTGATTTATAAAAAAAATTATTTTTTAATTTATAAATCGACGTGATTATAACACAATTTTAACAACAACTTATCATAACCGCTTTTTTTTTTCCCCCGGCTTGAAACACTAATGCTGTCAACGAATTAAAAAAATTTTAAATAACCGATTTTAACACGCGTTCGGACACATAAAGTAACACTCTATTTTTTTTAAAAAATAAAGGATTAAATGATATTTACTAATTTAAATTAATTATTAATTGATACTGAAAACAATAAGTGAAGAAAAAAAAAAACCGGTCCGCAAATACGGATAATTTAGGAGACATTTTACCCACGCCTCGATTAAATATAAATTTTTAAATGAACTCGTTGTATATGTTAACCATACGACGCCATGGTTTTTCTAATACTAAATAATACACTTAAACGATTGTTTTCTTTGTTTAGCTTATGCTAAAGCAGAAAGTACGTTCTCAAATTGATTCAATATTGGCGGGTAAATTCAGGGATTCAATGTCGTCTGTATATTTTTATTAAAAATGCCGGAAATAAGTACAATTATTTATTTTATTATAAAAATGTTTTGGAGATTTTATGAACTGAAAAATTTTCTAATTAATTTTAGTGTAATTTCTTTAAAAATTATATTTTAAATTTACCTTTATTAATTTTTCTTCGTAATAATTCTTAAAAACTTGCCCTTGAAATTTCAAGATCTTATGAATATCTATCAATTGCTTTACATAATTTTTTTTATTTTTATTTTTCCTAAAATAGGAATTATTCTAGTAGCGCATTTATAAAATCTCAAAAAAAAAAAATTATTTTTAATGAATTAAATATTAAAAACATTTTAATAAAACAAATTGATCCTATATCAAATTTGTCGATAGTTTTTTTTTTTTACAAAGTCAAATGATTTTGTTACATAAGTTTTGGGGTTGAAAGAATTTTTAAAAATGGATAACTTTTTCTTAAAAAGATTAGAAAAGTTCTTTATATTATTATGGATGTATCATTTGCATGGTTACAAACGAATTCTCATCCTTATAGCTTGATTGACTTGAATAAAGAAGAATGACTTTCATCGAGAATGAAAGTGTCTTTTATAAATATTTTTTACATTAATATGTTAAAATCAAACTGATGAGAATAAAAAAAATTTACTTATTATTTAGTGTCTGGTTCCGAAAAAGAAAAAAAAAATGTTTATGTTGCATATAAAAAAGTAAAATAAAACAGAATTAATATACCAGTCTCATATTTTGTTTTAATGTTATGTAATAATCATATATATATATTTAAGAAAAATAAAATATTTTTTACTAAGTAAAAACCATTTTCTAATAATTTTTAATCGTCATCATCATCAATGCCTTCATCTTCGATTGTGTCTACATATTTGGAAGTCTAAAAACAAATATAAAATAATATAAGTAATTTTATTTAAAAAAATACTTAAATTGGTTTTTTAAATTACTCTGATTAATTTTTTTTAAATTCATTAATCGAATTTACCTGAACTATACCCAACGATAAAGCATATGTCGCCATAGCCAAGACAGCAATTACACCTGCTATAAATTGATTTCGTTTCTTATTAGGAAATTCTTCATTTGTTTGTTGTTTTTGAATGTTTTCCTTTTGAGTTTTTTCAAATTCTGCACAAAATAAAAATTTATATCAAATAACAATATAAAATTTTTTAGAAATTAAAAAAAATTACCTTCAGATATAGCAGGAAAATATTTTTGAGATATCCTTATAACAAAGCTAACTAAATTATTACAAGCTTTTAAATGATTTTGAAGAGTTGGATTTGGAAATGGAGCCCTGAGCAAAGGAGCTAAATAAGAATAAATGATTGCATCCAATGAAGTTGCCTGATTTCCGAAAAAATATTTTGATTCTCCTAATCTGTTAGATAATAGCGTTAAACATTTTTCCGCATCACTATACACCTATGCAAAAGACAATTATCACATTACTACGAATAAAAATTAAATTTTTTTTTTTTTAATATTAGATTAAGTTTAAAAAATGAAATTAAAATATATTGTTAAGGTATACAAACTTGTGTTTCTATTGCTGCTAAATTTTCTTCTAATGATCCATATAATGCTGTTATTAAATTTTTAGCCTGCGCTTCATAATGACCAGGATAATAAAAATTTAATGGAAACATAAGCTTTTTGGCAAACCATGACTTTGTTAAATTAACACAATTTTTGTTATCTACCCACCTGTAAAACAATAACAAATTTAAATTTTGAATGGTAAATAAATTATAATGTATTACAAAATTCAAATTTACCAAACAAACTGCAAACCAGGGTACAACTTTTCTTTGAGTAATTCTATATAAGCTTGAATCTCCGATATATTTCTTGAAGATAATATATGATCGGCATAAAAGTTTTTACTTTGTAAATAAGACACTACATCTTGCAATTTATACAAAACAACTTGCCCGTGTCGGAATGTCGGCAAAGAAGTAGTAAGAGGATTATTTTTTACTTTTAATTGAACGGGTGCCCCAGATAATTTACAATAAACCTGAAATTTAAAAAATTATTAACTAATGACAAGAAGGAAAATATAAAAAAAAAAAAAAAAAAAATTAAAGTACCAAGATTTGCAAACAGTCCAAGTCAATTGATGGCAGTCCCCAATCTCCGCCCCAAACTTCCAATTCCATTGGCAATTTTAACCCGATATAAGTTTATCTGCATTTATTTAATTAAATTAAATTTTTTGGATTTTAATATCAAAACGCGGTCACTGCTTGCTAGTGCAGGATTTTTAAGAAGATTAGTTTTAGAAACGAATACAACTGCGGTTGACACACGCAGTTTTAATAATTTAATTAGTTGAAAATAAATTATTTAAAAAAGGCTTATGAATTCATGTATATATTTTTTAAACCATTTATTTACGAAAAATTGAACTAAAAAAAATTAAGCAGAGAATAAAAAACTTCAACAATAAATTTTTTTATTTTTCTTTTCATAAGTTTGTAAACTTGCTTTTTTTAAGGTTGGTACTTTTTTGAGAAAAAGCGGGTAAATGGTGACTTTTATTTAATTCAATGGAGTCGTAGTTTGAACTTTTTTTTTTTTTCGAAAACATTATTAAAATGTCACATAAATATATCACAGGACTTAAAATTAAATTAAAAAAAGCTCGCGCGAGTAACAGATTAAAAGAAATAAGCGAATATGCTTGTTCGCTAGCCTCGGTTTTAGGTGATAATGAAGAATATGAAGAAGCTTTATTGCTTTACAAAGAAAGTTTAAAAGCTTGTGAAAGTATTGGTGATAAATATGGTGTGGCTTTAGCTCAAAGAATGATAGCTGAAACTAATAATTGTTTAGGAAATTTTGAAGAGGCCTTAAAATTTGTACATTTGTTTTTAAAGTATGCCGTCAACGAAGATGATAAAGTAGAAGAGCAAAGAGGTTTAGTTTTAAGGGGGTTAGTTTATTTTACACATGCTGAGTGCATAGCAAACACTGAGCCTGAAAAGTATCAAGTCATAGAAAAACTTTTAAAGCAAAGTTTAGAGAGTTATCAGAAAAGCTATGCGATTTGTAATTCAGAGCTTAAAGAAGTAAATGAAAAAGAAGTATTACAAATGAAAGCAAGACTATTGCAAAACATAAGCTTGGTATTAATTAGGCAAGGAAACTTTGACGAAGGTGAAAAATGTCTTGTAAAATCTATAAAAATTTCGTCAGTAGAAAAATTTAATGATACGGAATGGATAAGTTACAACAGTTTAGGAGATTTGTATTCAAAAAAAAGAGATTATAAAAAAGCCTTAGACATTTATAACAAAGCTTTCAATTGTGCCTGCACAACACAAATGAAAACAGATTCTTTAATAGGAATAGCAAAATCTTATTTATTTTTGGATAACTTTGAAGAAGCAAAAATGACTTTAAAAAGAGCATATAAATTAAAAACAAATCCAGATGTTAAAGATATGTTGAAGCATGTTCTCTCCACGATAAAAACACAAAAAATGTTGAACAATACTCCTGAAACTAATATTGCAGAAAGAAAAATATTACATAGAAAATTGGGCAACTTATTCTTTAACTTAAAATTGCTGAAAAAAGCCATGGACAATTACATGCATTTGTTAAAATGTTGCAGAAAGAATCAAGATAATTATTTAAATATAATTATTTGCATTAAGCTTGTTATCAAAACTTTTGCAGAAGGTAAAGAATATTCTAAAGCTTTATTTTATGCCCATCAAGAATTACAATTATATTTAAAAAATTCACCAGAAAAGGCTTGTTATACTTATCTTAAAACTGGTAAACTTCATGAATTGAAAGGATCAGACTACGATGACATATCTTATGCATATTTCCAAGCAAAAGATACAGCTGAAAAATATGAAAATGATAAAATTAAAATTAAAAGTTTAAAAAGAATAATAAACATTGGGAAAAAGTTTGACAAACCAATGGTTGTCGAGCAAGCAACTAATGAGTTAAAGTGCTTAAAAGCTAAAAAAGAAAAAAATATTAGTAGTAGTGAATCTGAGAGTGATGATAATTTCTATTCTTTCGATTCTGACATTTGTGTTGATGAAGACATAGGTACAGACTCTGAATTTGAAGATGTTTTAAAAGAATCTGAAACAGAACAAGAGGAATTTGACAGACCGAGAGAAAGGTGTAAAAGGACAAAGTATTCAATTAAAAGAAATGAAAAAGGAGAAACTGAATTGCATGTTGCAACCATTAAAGGAAATCTAAAAAAAGTACAAAATTTAATTAGTCAAGGACACCCTGTTAACACTAGGGATGGAGCCGGATGGACTCCACTCCATGAAGCATGTAACCACGGGTATTTAGACATAGTTAAAATTTTAGTCGAAAATGGAGCCGATGTAAATGACAAAGGAGGCTCTGCGTGTGATTTAATCACACCCCTTCATGATGCAGCGATTAATGGACAGCATAAAGTGATTGAATATTTAATTGAAAAAGGAGCATCAACTTTAGTTTTAAATAAACAGGGTATGTACAAAGTTTTAGTTAATAATATGTTAAATCAATAAAATTATGATTTAATAGATTTTTTTTTTAAATAATTTATGCAGGATTGACTCCATTGCACTGCTTACTTGCTTGGCGAAAAAATTCTGCTTTGGATGCTGGTGAAGAAAAAGAATTTAACAGAGTGGCAAGAGCATTACAGTCTCCATTAGATTGTGACAATGGGAAAAGAAATTCTTCTATCATTGAAAATGAACAAAAGAAAAATAATAATTCTAATAATACAGCAAGTTCTTTAATACAAAGAAAAACTTGTCGTGAATTTTCCAAAAGTAAAAGTTCAGAAGAAAAAAACATCAGTAACATAACGCGAAGAAAACGACGTAGTATTATTGAGAGTGATGAAGGTTCAGATTCTTCAGATGATTTAGAAAGTAAAGAATGTAAATTATATAAAGAAGTAATGAATGGTTTTCGACGTTCTTCAAAAAAATATAAGGGTTCCGATTCAACTCAAAAAAATAATTTGTTACCAGCTCTTATAGACGAAAAAGACTGTTGTGAAAATCGTATTGTAAATGATGATTTTGAAGATGATTCAGGGGATGATTTAAAAAATGACGATGATTGTAGTAGTTGTACAAGTAACGAAATTTTAGGAAAAAATAAGTTGGAACAAAAATATGACAAAAAAATGGAAGAAAATATTGCGAGAAAAAAAAATAAAAAAATACGTTTGGATAATAAAAAATGTGCTGAGGAAAAAACGATTGAGGAAAAACCACATGAAAATCTTAGTGTCCATTTTGATGATAATTGGGATGACGATGTTGACGAATTTATATCAAATTTAGTGATTCCCTCTACGGAAAATAAAAACGATAAAAAATCTCATAACTCCGACATTTTTATCTCTCAACCGGATCCAGAAAATTTAATTTTTAATCCCTCCCAGGATAATTCTGAAATTCAAGATATCACCTACGAAATATTTAATAAAAAATTTGAAATTAATGTGAAAAAGTCCGAGCTCAATACTTTAAATTTTGAATGGTTGATGCAAACGGTTAAAAAAAGGTATCCGATTATCGACAATCCTGATTGTTACATTTCAATTAAAACGAATGAAAAACCATTAATTGAGGAATCAAATTTTTTGAGTATTTTAGAAGAAGATGAAAAAATTGAATTTGAAGTGATAAGATGGAAAAATTTTAAATTAGACGAAAGATACGTTAAAATCTGCACGATAAAAAATCATGGCGACATGAGAACAGGAATTAAATCGTATTCTTTTAAACACGAAGTACATCCGGAAGTATTTGAAATTTTTAAAAATCAATCTTTGTTCAGATCTTACGACTTGAGTAATTTAAAGCTGTCGTCAATATCATTAATCCCTGTTTGCAAAGCTTTGAAATACGAATCATTCATTCAAAAATTAGATTTAAGTAACAACGATTTCGGGGATCAGGGTATTGAATTAATAATAAAAATATTACAAATTTCCTTGATTGAAAAATTAAATATTAGCGGATGTTACGTCACATCTTTAGGTATACATAAATTAAATGATTTTTTAAATGTCGCCAACGAAATAAGTTTGAACGGTTTGTTATATTTAAATTTAAGTTGCAATCCGATCACAGATGATGCATTCAACGCTCTCGAAAACATAATTAAAAAATTACCTAATTTAACCGAAATTAACATAACTAATTGCAAATTGAATAAAAATTTACGAGAAGAAGACTACGTTACGGTGAAAATTTTTCAAGGTGGATTATTAAAACATAATTAACATTTTTATCATAATCTTGATTTTATGTATAAGTTATTGTTTTTTATCTATCAGTATAATAAAGTTTGTAAATTTTATTGACGTAGTTAATTAAATTTGAAGAGAAAAAAGGATACTTTAATCTGTTAAATATTTTTAGCAAATCGTTTTAAGTTTCTTTTTTTTTAAATTTGTTAATTTTCTGTTCGTATTTATACATTTATTTGTTTTATAATTATGACTTTGTATTAGTTCGTTTGTTTTTTAAATTACGTTTGTAATAAATTAGAAAAATGTGTTTTGTATATCTAGTCTTTAAATTAATGTAAATATATGTATCATTATTTGTTATAAAGTTTTTTAGTATTTTGTAATATGTATATGTTAATTTTATTAATATAATAAAATTTTTATATAACTGTAAATAATATAATTATTATCATTATTTGTATAAATATTTTATTTTTATATTTACCTAGTAATTCCCTCAAACGTTTCGTTATTTTCGAAAAGATGCAAATTATATGAATGATGACGTCACTAATTTTTCCAACGTTTCTATTGGTTGAAAAAATCGTTATTTTTAAAACCACGAACATTACAAGTTTTCATTCTCTATGATTTTTTTTTTTGAAACAGTAGTCGGTATCTTTTTTACTTTAAGTTTTAATACTTTGAAAATAATTAAAAATAAGTAAAATATTTGATATTTAAACTTAAAAAATAAAACAATTGAGATTTAAAGTTATGGAAAAACTAATTAAAATGAGTGGTAGTGCAAAACGAAAACCGTTACAAAATGAAACATCAAATGATTTTGATTCTGAGTGTTATAAACCTGAGGATGGTGAGAAATGTCGTTTATTTTAAAAAAATATATATATTTGTATTACGTGTGCATTATTATTGAATATTTTAGTAAGAATTTGTTTTTTTTTATTAAAAACAGACGAAAATTTCTTAAAGCTTTATCAAAACTACGATTATAAAGAGAAATTTGACTCTTTACAAACACCCTATCACAAATCGTGTAGAAAAAGAAAGCAAGATGAAGATTTAATGAGTAATTCGTGCAAAACATTATTTCAATATTTAAAACCATTTACGGATGAAAAAAAATTAGGCGATGTAAAAAACAGCCGAGAACAAAAAATAAATAAAACGTTTATATCGAAAAATTTCAGTCATAGAAAAGAAGCATTTAAAAAATTTAAATTTTTAACCATACGAAAAGAAACTCGTAATTCACATGAATTTTTATTCACAGAGTAAATAAACGTATAAAATATATAAATAAATTTGTTTAATTTCATTTAAGTTAAAATAAAATTAAGTTAAATCATTTTACAGGTGTAAAATATTATCGGAAAGTAAATCGAAAATAAATTTTTGTCAACCCAAGTTAAGTTTTTTTATGGATGTAAATACAAGTGAAAATCCAATTAATTATAAGGTAATAATTCAAAAATGAAATAATAATAATAATAATAATAAATGTAATGTCGTAATTTGTTTTGTTTACATTTAAATTTATTTAATAATTTACTTGAATTAAAACCTTTTTTTTGTTTTGTTTAAGGTTGAAAATGGGATTCAAATGACAAAAACAACAACATCTGATGATTTTTTAAATAACGTTTTCAATGGATCTTTTATAATTAAAAAATAATATTTTGTAATTATTAAAAAAAAAAAAAACAAAAATTAAATAAAATTTTATGAATAAAAATAAATAAGAATCATTTCTAATCATTTTAATAAATAATTAATTTTAATCTTATGTATTTCTCACGTTGTTGCTACAACAATAAAAAAAAATATTTATGTAATAACTCAAAATAAATGTAAAAAATAAATAAATAAATAAATAAATAAAGACAAAGTTATGTTTTATACGTTATTCATTATAATTAATAATAATAATAATAAGATAAAATAATGATAATGAAAGGAAAATAATAATTGGTTAAAATTTAAATAATTTAAAAAAGAAAAAAAAAACAAATCATAATTTTTTTTTTTTTTAATTTTTTTAAATTTTATTTAATTTAAAATTATTCATTTATATATAATTTTTTTTTATTTATTTTTATTATTATTATTTACCTTATCGTATATAATGAGAAAAACATTTTTAAAATAATAATAATAATAATAATAATAATAATGATGAAAAAATAAAAAATTATGTTTAATATTAATAAAGAATCTATAATATAATATAATATATACGCGACTCAAAAGACACAAAAAAAAAAAAATTTACAAATTAAAAACGCTAATTATTATTATTATTATTATTATTACCATATTCATAATAAGCCCTTTGGTAATTAATTAAAATAATCCAAAATAAAATAAATAAAAATAATTAATAAAAATAAAAATAAAAAATTGTAAAAAAAATTTTAAATAAATATTTCTTTTTTTTGTTTCTGTTTTTTTTTTTTACATTATTGTTATAATAATAATAATAATGATAATAATAAAGATAATAATAATAATAATAATAATAATAAATTTAGTTATAAATTTAATTTTTCTTGCTTTTCAACGTAAAATTTATTTATTTTTATTTTCTGTTATGGAAATATTTTTAATTTAATAATATTTTTGTGATATTGATTCAAAATAAATTTTATTATTATTATTATTATTTTTTGTTTTTAAATTAAGAAAAGCAACAAACAATATGTCGTTGGAAAATTATAATAAAATAAAAAAAAAAAATATATTAAATTCGTTTATTATATTATATAACGAATCGTCTTTAAAAAATTAAAAAAAAAAAAAAAAGTATATAATATTATAATATATGATAATTTGATTTTTTTTTTTTAAATATATTTAAAAAATACGTTTATTAATAATAATAATAATAATAATAATAATAAAATACTATATTGAAAATAAAATAAAATGGCAGTGTTTCAGTGTACTACTACTCATTCTCCTTGATAGCAAAAAAAAAATTTAAATAATTTAACAGTTTTAAATGTAAACAAACAAAACCTATGAAATTCTTATTTATTTATTTATTGATATCTCGATTCCCACTTTACATAGAAACTTTTATTAACATTTAAAGACAGTGTAATAGCATATATATTTTATGGGCGAAATGTTTTTTTTAGTTACTGTATTATTATTAACTTTGGCATGTAAAACCATTTCAATAGGTAACTAATATCAATCAATCAATCAATCATTCATTCATTATTTGTTCCCTGACTGTAATTATTATTATTATTATTATTATCAATTGTTTGAGAAAAAAAAAATTAAATTTTTAAAGTGGGGAGAAAAAAAAAAACCCAATATCACAGAGTTAAAAATGAAATAATAATAATAATAAAGAAAAGAGAAAACCATCATCAGGAGGTGGTTTAAAAAAACACTCGATGAACGGTGGGGGGGGGTAGAAGGGGGGGAGAGGGAGGGGAAGGTTTCGTGTATTTAAATGTTCCTTTAAACCTTGTTCGAACCTTTTCGAATTTTTGTGAAATGAAATAATAAAAACTAAAATTAAGTACATTTTCATATAACAATAAAAATTTTCCACTCCGGAAAAATAAACACGCGTGTATAATATATTTTCATTTGAAAATTATTATTATTATCATTATTATTATTATTATTATTTTAACGCCGAGTAATTTAAAACTATATTCATTTATCTGTTTCTTATTGGAAATTAAAAAATGTTTGAAAAATTTTGTTTTCCTCATTAAAACTTTATAATTAAAAATAATATAAGAGATAAAAATATATATATTTTATATATTTATATATATAATTTTCGAGTCTAATATTTCTGGTTGTGATTGGCTATTATAAAATATTTATTTACATTTTATCTTATCTAATTAAAGTATAATTAATATATATATTTATATATATTTATATAAAAATGCCTAATTGTTTATAATATATTTTAAAATTATCATTATCATTATTATTATTACTTTTTTTTGTACAGTTTTTTTTTTTTTTATTTTATTTTAAAACCACTTTAATTCTTACACAATACACGAGAGAAAACACGAATTATTATTATTATTATTATTATTATTAATTTGGGGGACCCGACTTGGTTGCGAACGTTAGAGTTAGTGCCTTATGTATGCTGTTGGTGTACAACAGCATTTGGGAATTGACTCGTCTAAAAACAAGTAGAAATTTTTATAACGTTAAAAATCTTTCGTGCCTTTTTTTTCCCTGTTGTTTTGCTGTTGTTTTTTAATTCCGGAAAATATTGAAAATTATAAACTTACTTAGGTTTAACTCCGAGCACCGCGAGCTGTTTCCTCTAAAGCTCTCACTTTAAGTTCACGTTCTCTTTGAGCTCGTATATATTCGTCGTGAGCTACCAAAGATGGATGAGGAAATCTTTCCCTTTCGAGCATGATTTGGCGTTGTAACTGTTCGTGAGCTGTCGCCTAAAATTTTCAAATATTTTTTTTTTTTTTTTTATTAATTTTTCTCGGTAAAAATGTGAAGAAAAAAAAAAAAAATTGATAAAATAATTACTTGATGCGCTAATTGATCAGCATATGGTCTCCCTAAGAGATCGGCTGGGTGATGAAGACCAAGTGGCATATCTCTCGGAGGTAATAAGTTAGGTCTCGGATACCCAGGAGGTGCGGAAGCTGTAATGAATTAAAAACCCATAGGAGTAGTGTCATCAATATGATGTAAATTTGAAACGCTTGATTATAAATTAAAAGTACCTGGTAAAGGAAAACCAGCAGCTGCGGCGGATGCTTCTTGTTGCGCTTGCGCTTGTTGACTCGGATGTAGGTGAAGATGAGTATGAGAATGAGCATGTGTATGGGCGTGGGTGTGAGCGTGATATTCTGGGGATATACCTAAAGTCGTTAGTTATACTAAATTAGCACTCACTTTCGTAAATAATTAATTAAAAGAGTTTTTATTGAAACCCACCGGCCATTTGTAACCGAACCATGGGATCAGTTGCGAGCGCAAGACGTTCTGCCTCGAGTGCAGCCACTGATGATGGATGAGGATGAGCTTGAGAAGGTCCCCCCGGACCGGGTGGTGGTGCACCAGGTCCCGCAGGAGGAATACCAAGCCTTTCAAGACGTTCACGTTCTAATTGACTCAAAGCAGGAGGTCCTGCTGTATGTTCCGTAATCCCGATAAAAAAAAGTTATGAATTAAAATTTTCTATGATGTGACAATCTATAACATTGTAAGATGATCAAAACTAACCAGGATGCCCGGGAGAGGGATATAACCCGAATTGAGGCGGAGGTCCACCAGGCAATCCACCGTAACGCCGATGCAATTCCAACCAATGAGGATCGAGAGGTGTAGGCATTCTTGTACCTGGTGCACCAGCCACTCCAGCATTTTTCATTAGTTCCTCTTTAAGTCGATCATTCAATTCTCTTTCTCTGAGTTCTCTTAATTCGCGTTCTCTTTTCTCCCGTTCAAGATGTTCTAACTCGAGCCTGTTTAATAATATCAAAATTGTTATTTACACTATTAGAAATAAAAGTACGGTACAAAAAAAATACTCGAATCTAAAAGACTTGCCTGTCTCGTGGCCCATACATAGAATTTAGTTGGTAATGTAACATAGGATCGATACATTGAGGAGGCAAACCTAAGGCAGCTGCACGTCCTGGTGAAAAACCTGCATGTGGTCTAGCATACTCACTGCGTAACAAATATTTAAATTTTCACAAAATTATATAATATAAATCGCCATTAAAATTAATTTTACAAAATGTACCTCAGCTGCCTCAAAGCCGGTGTGTCAGGATAGCCTGGCCTTTGCCCAAACCTGTCATACGGTGATGATATTGTTTCTATGGGACCACGTGAAGGAGGTTTAGATGCACTTTCTTTATTTTCAGGAGTATTTGCTATTTTACGCTATAAAAAGCAAATGTACAAACATATAAATACATTCGTGCATATTATTAGAATTAATTGGGTAATTAATTTATTTAAAAATTTAACTCACCGTTTGTGCTTGTTGAGCAGCTTTTTCCCTTTCTTCTCTTTCTCTTTCTGCCTGCTTTCTCAGACGTTCTTCACGCTTTCTAGCCAACTTTGAATCGGGAACGGGTTTGAAAGTCAAATCCGTTCTTGTACATGAATTATAATCCCCTCGATTCCAATGTCGCACAAATCTGAAAGAATTTATTATAAAATATTAACTAAATAAAAATTTAAATGTTTTTTATAAAATTTGAAATGCTTACATAGCACTTTGACTTCGATGACATTCAGTATCTTCTATTTTTGGTTCAGGGCTTGGAACCCTAGGTATATGTTGCGGGCTACCTTCATCCTCTTCGGGAGTAATATCAGATGATTCGGAAGCCGGCTCGCTTTTTAGTTCCTCCTGGGGGCCATGTCGAGAGGAATGATGCAAGGCTAAAGTATTTAAATAATAATCTAGGTTAACAAAAGAAATAAACTTTTTGTGCCACCGTAATTTTCATTCGTACTTTTACCGTGAGAAGGAGAAGGCTGCATGTTTGCGGCAGCTACGGCATGAGCTCTAAGTGCTTCTAAACTGGAACCGCTTAGGCTTGGAGGAGGAAGTCCCATTGCAGCCATCGGATGTCCAATTGGTGGAATGGCCATAATACCAGCTGGATGATGAGGTTTTGAGCCTCTGTTAGGACTTGAACCCAACACCATTCCAGGAACAACGTCTATATTTAAAAATTAATTGTTTTAATTTTTATTAATTTGAAAAATTAAAAATTAATTTTCAAAGGTTAATTATACATACCACTTTGATGATGGTGACTATGATGATGACTGTGATGGTGATTATTTCCACCGAGGCTTATACTGGTGGATTGTGTTTGAGACATAGTAGCACTCATGTGAGTCAGAGGACTAGATACTCTAGCAGATGGATTGTTTTGTTTTTTGACTGACGAAGTGCTCGATGAAGTTGTTGAATGACTTATGTGAATGCCTTGTTGCTTATCTGTACTTGAGTGCGAATGATGAACACTTGAATGATGCATAGTAGTAGTTTCCTAAAAAAACGTGTTCGAATTAGAAAAGTTACAGTAAAATTTTTTTTTTTTTACATAAAAATGTTTTTAAATCAATATTTACTTGATGTCGCTCTGTAGAACTACTATCTCCTATATCATCAGTTCTTTCAGTTTCTCTGACCCGAGTTGTGACGCTGCTTGAACTATGGTGAGTAAGAGTTGTTTCTTTTATTGGCGCATTTAATCCCTGAGGAGGAGGAATAGGATATGGATAGGGATATCCAAAAGGATAAGCAGCATATGGATGATATGGATTGTGCATTGCTGCAAAAAGAGGAAGTGTATGTTGAACAAGAGGGTGATGGGGAGGAATATGAGGTGGAAGAAAAGCTGGATGGTGAGCGGGAGAAATACGATTTAAAGGACTGGGTTGCTGTGAAGGATGCATTACTGAATTAGGTATGGATGTGGGGCAAGGTTGCATTATGTGGCTAGAACCTAAAATATAATGTCAGTTAAATTTTAAAAAAAAAAAAAAAAATCTTTTTTTACTTTTAAATAAAAGACTTTAAAATCAACCTGGCAATTGTGATGGAGAAACCAAAGCTCCGGAAGGGCTTTGGCCATGATGATTGTCTTTACTGTGAGATGATGAGGACTTGGAAGAGCTGGACGGTCTTGGCGGAACTGCTGATTGAGTAGTAGAAGTACTAGTGGAAATCAAATTAGCACTTGTATGCACAATCAAAGGAGATCTAAAATTTTTGTGAAGTAAATTAAAATAAAATAAACTAAAATAAATAAATTTGGAAAATTAAGAACTGACAAAAACTTACTCTGTATGATTAGAATTAAAATTTGTTTCGTTTGTATTTTCACTGGATTTTAAAAGAACTTCAGATTTCGGTTGAACAAGAGGCATTCTCATTCCAGGTTCGCAACTAGTTGGGAAGTTGGGGCGAGGTATTATCAAGTTTATTTCTTTCATTGAATTTCTCATGGGTACTTTTATAGAGTCATCAGAATCTTTATTTTCAGTTATGTCGTCATCCCTCACAATGACTTTGGTAGGAACATTTTTAATAGACGATTGCCCCTTCAAATCCATCATCATTTCAATAGACATCACTGGTAAATCGCTCGATAAATTTGATTTTTTCATGGGAGGCTCTCCCTCTGATTTTTCCGTTTCCGGCCCTAATAATCCTGTTTTAGGATCAACGGTTATAAGTTTATCTGAATCATTGTTTACCTCTGTATTACATTTTGGTTTTTCTTCTTCTTCTTCGTTAACTTTTTCTTTACCTTCAGAACTTTTATCTGTAGTATTAGCTATAAAAACTGACATTGGAGTTATTGCCATTGGATTTATCTTTATTGAATCACGTTCGACATCAAGTTTTTTATTATCTTTTCCTACGGTTAGGTTTTGCTTTAAATGTACCATTACAGAAGTTAATTTTTCACCCGCAACTCCAGTAAAGGTATTTTTATCAAAGGCCATATCTTCTTTTTCTTGTTTTATTTGTAATTTTTCTTCTTTTTCAGGTTTTATTTGCAATTTCTCTTCTTTATCCATTCTAAACTGTGATTTCTCTTCTTTTTCTTGCTTAATTTGTAATTTCTCTTCTTTTTCTTGCTTGATTTGTAACTTTTCTTCTTTTTCTTGTTTTATTTGTAATTTTTCTTCTTTCTCAAGTTTGAATTGCAACTTTTCTTCATTTTTATCGCATTTTTCTACTTTCAATTGCATAGGACTATTTTTTTCTTCAAAATTTTCAGTTTGTTCATCATTTATTTCCATGTCCTCACTTTTCTTTTTTTTGTTCGGAGTATCTTTTTCATCTTTTTCATCTCCATCGCTTTGATTTCTTTTACAATTCTTAGGTGGTGTTTCCTTATTATTATTATTATTATTATTATTGTTGTTGTTGTTGTTGTTATTATTGTTACTGTTGCTATTGTTGTTGTTGTTGTTGTTGTTATTGCTTATATTATTGTTGTTATTACTACCGTTATTATTATTACCGTTGTTATTATTATTATTATTTATATTATTATTGTTATTGTTGTTATTATTATTATTGTTGTTGTTGTTATTATTATTATTAGCTCCCGTCGCTGTATTGCTATTGATTATATTATTGTTACCAGTTGTTGAATTCATGCTTTGTTTTTTCTCATTAGGAGAGCTATGAAAACCTGGAGATTTTGTGTGTTTTTTGTCTTTATCAAGTTCGTCAGGTGTATTTGTGCCATTTCCTCGCTTAGGTCGTGTTACATTTCCAGAGGAAATCTTAAAAAAAAAAAAATTAGGTCATCGTGAATTGATTACTCATGTCAAAAACTTTTGTTTATGATTGATAATTACCTGTTCTTTAGTTTTTCCCCGAGTGCGCATCCTTCCCGGTGAGCTGTCGGGGCTTTCATTTTGTACTGGCCTAAATAAATACGGTGTGTCAGATGATTTAGTGACTCCTACGGGAACAGGAGGAAGTTCGCCATGTTTTTTGAGGTGAGTACGGCATTCGTAACATAGTATTTGACGATCTTTTCCATACTGTTGCCAATCTCTCGAATCTTATAGAAAATGATAAATTTTATCATTACATTATCAGTAAAAAAAATTTATATTTTTCAAATAGTTAACAGTTGCCTTACTTGCGCTAAAGCAATGCTGGCATCTAAATCCAGATTGATCTCTAGAATCGGAATCATCTTCGGAATTTTCTTCTTCACTGCCAGAACTACAATCATTATTTTCCTTTGGATTAGGCGATGGACGAGTAGACTGTTGACCTTCTTTTTCTTCTTTAGGTTGTCCTCTGAAAAATCATTTCAACAATAAAAGATAATAATAATTTTAAATACGAATTAATATAGGTAAACTGCAAGCCTTGAATATTTGACATACTGAATTTGCATAATATTAATAATTTTAATTTCTAATGGTACAATTTTAATTCACCTTGTATTTCTCGTATTGCGAATACGTCTCAAAGACCCTTGCCTTCGATTTCTCCTGTGCGGTCTATTATTATTGGCACCTGGAGTTTTTTTCCACAAATAATAAAATTCTACCAATTCCGGCTAAAAAAAAAACAAATTTTAAAGTTTGAATAATGCTTCAAAAACCCCCCCAAAAAAAAAAAGTTAAAAACAATTTTTTTTACTGTATCTTTGTGGGGAAGTAAATCTTTTCTAATTCTGTAAAAATTTTTCCCAAATTGTCTTAAGCCTTTAACAAAACGTTTCTGAAAGATAATAATTAAAAAATAATAACTAAATTTAGTCAAAAGAAAAAAAAAAAAATTTTACTCTAATTTTATAATTAATTTAACATACAATTTCTTCTTCTGACCACTTTTTTTCAATTCCTTTTGGGACAGGACATTTAACAAGAGCTTGTAGTGCCTTTCCTGGATCATATCCAGATGCATGAAGCTAAAAACATATATCATTAATTAGATAACTAAATATTCAATCTTTAAATCAAAATCATGAAAAATAAGTAAATAAGTTTAATCATTACTCAAATTATTATTTTAAGCCCCTAGTCCAATGAATTACTTTTTTATCATTAATATTTAATATATATTTTCTAAGCAAAATGGTATTTAGTTACTATTATTATTATTATTTCGTTTATACATACAGTGTCTAAAGCATTAATAGTTGTATCATCTTTGGAAGCTGCTAAACACCCATCATCAGGACTGCCACCATCGCACATTCCTGCAAATGCAGCCATCGATCTAGCAGCCCTGAGGAACATAAGAAGGTCACCATCTAATGTCTGTGCAGGCACCCATTTGATTTCTTCTCTATCTTTACTAAACTCAGGGTCTGGAGGAATATCTACATCTGTCAACCCTGGTCTATAGTCAGGCAGCCTAGCTTGATGCCCTGGGCCCACCCTGATCTCACCTTGAGTTGAAACCATTTCTGAGTATTTACATGATAAAACTTAACTTTTTCTAACAGATTTTTGTTTAGTTTATATTTTTAAGGAACTTAATCGAAGGAAAACAATACAACTTAAGTTTTTGTAAATGACTAATAATAATAATAATAATAATAGGTGATAATATAAGTAATAATAATTAATAATTTTCAATTTGCCAATTTGAATGATTAATTGCTGATGAAAATAAAAGGTGATAATACAGTCTTTTTGACTTTATAACTGGCCTCACTCCAAAATATATGTGTGTGTGAAAACAAAAGAATCCCACGTAATAATTGTTTTTAACATTAAACATTTAATTATTCACACACATTTGACGTATACACTATCCGTTCCAGAATTGATTTATTTTGATAGTCTATTTTAAATTTATACTTTACTTTTTTCTGGAACATTATTTTTTACAGAACACATGACGAATTGAGATATTGACATTCCAAAACGCGTTTAATGAAATCAAAAACAAAAAGCCTAGGCGTAGGCCCTGTAAACAATAACTTGCAAATATTTAAAATCCTTTTACGGAGGCACAAAATAATATAAAAAACTTAAAAATTCTTATCCGACTTTTATTTAAAAAGCAATTATTAGAAAATATAGTATAATATTATGTAAAACAGTAAATAAAGGAAGCAGTCTTAATATTGATTTTTCACTCGACACACGCCATTTTTCTTTACCTTGATCGTGCGTCATCTTCGAACGTGAAACTAACTACTAATTCTAAAAAAAAAACCAATGAACAAATTTTAAATTATGTTAAAATAATTATTAAAACTATATCCTTAAACAAAAATACATATTTTATTTTATATTAATTCTAAATTGATAAAACTAAAATCATTAGGATTTAAAATTAAAGTAATTCATTGCAAATACTACTGATAATTTTTTGCAAATTATTAGAAATTATTTTTTGGCGCGTAATAAGAAAATTTAAAAAATGCTTATGTTTAAGGTTTTTTTTTTAAATAAACTATTGAAACTAATAAAACAATAAAGAAAAATAATTAACCTTTAAAAAACCAGTTATTTTCTTAAAATAATGTGTAATAAAACCATTTTTTCTTTTTTAAATTTTATTTATTTTAATTAAAATACTTATTAAAAAAGTTTGAAAAATTATATATACTTTGCTTGGGAAATATTTTTAGATTTTATAATTGTTTAAAAAGGCTTATTTTAAAATAATAAGTTGTGACTAGGTTATTGTAAGAACTAAAATTAAAAATAAATAGTTTTAAAAAGTTTTAATAAATAAAATAATTTATGTACTATTATATTTCAAAATAAAACTATAATGAATCACACGGAAATTAATAAAATAAATAATTTTTTTTTTTTTTTTTTTTTTAAAACAACATATAATATTTTTTCATTGAAGCCTGCAAGAATCTGCAAATATAAATTGAAAATATTTTAAAAAAAAAAAAAAAAAGTAAAAAAAAATAAAAGCATGAAATATGCAAACCTTCTTTTTCAACGGCTGAATTCGCATCATTTAAATCCAATGCTGATAAAAGAGCCTTTGCAGCTTCAGCTCCTTTCATCCAATGCTGAACCTGTAAAAATATATTCCGACTGAGTAAAAAAAAAAAAAAAGTAAGAAATGTGATTCGATTCGTAATAAATTGAAAAGGAAAAATATTTGAAACCATTCAACTGATTATTTTCCATAATTTAAAAAAAAAAAAAAAATTAAAAAACCCGGGGCGTCTTAAAATGTTTCATTCGAGATTTTTTCATCGCATTTTCCTGGTTATAATTAAAATTTAAAAAAGATAGCCAAACCTGATTGTGTAATAAATCCCTCCTTCGTCCAGATGGTTCTGTTGATAAAACATTAAGCAAGATTCTGATACATGTTTGAAACTTATTGAAAGCTAAACGATATTCACCTTCAGCATAATGCTCTTCAGCATTGCAACCCATTTCTAATGCTTCTCCCAATCGTGCATCCTCAGCCCATAGTAAATCTTGAAAATTAAAATTTTATGATTTTTCATTTGAAAAACAAAATTAAAAACTGAACAAGAATAATAAAATAAACTATTACATAAATTAAAACGAATTTTTTAATAAACAATTAACGTTATTGTTTTAATAAAGAAATAAATATGACAAAATAAATTTCTATATATTTAAAAAAAAAAATTTTAGGCAAAGTTTAATATCGTATCAGAGTTGCAAAGTTAGTCACCAAAAATTAAAATTATTTTAAGAACTATTTATAAAAAGAGGTAAAAAGAAAGTTTTTACCCAATCAATTTTACTGGAGTACTTACTTACTAAAAATGAGTTTGCAACTGCAAAAAAAGTAGTTATTATGTTTTTTGAAATAAAAAAAATTTTAGCTCAAAAGATGAGTAGAGAGAGAGAGAGAGGAAATTTAACTTACTTAACTCTCTGAATACTGCTCCTTCTGTAATATGGTCAAAACCATTAATATCACTATTAACAATATCATTATTCTGACTACTTATACAAACAAATTTTTTTAAACTTTCTGCACGAGCTATGTATTCATTTACTTTAGCTCTCAAAGCATTTTTCTTTTTGGTATTAGTTTCAGCTGAAAAAAAAAAACAAAATTCTACTGCTGACTACATTTGAAAATGTTAAATTTCTTAAAATATTTTTTAGTTTAGTTAGTAGTTACCAATTATTAGAGGAACAAAATATCTTAAGGCTTCACAATATAAATTGAAAGCATCTATATATTTTTTTTCTTTATCACATTGCACAGCTTCGCAAACAATTTGTACTCCTTTACGGTAAGATTCTGGACTAGCTATATGTTCTAAATCAAGAAATGAATGAGAGAAAAATTCATTAAATGATATTCTTTGATTTGGATTATGCTGCAGCAGTCTTAAAAGTAAATCTCTGCATTCAGAGGATATACCACATTGTTCTGGAATCTAAAAGTATTAATATGACAGAATAAATTTTATGCAAATCATTTATAAAAAAAAAAAAAAAAGATTTATTTAAAAAAATACATTTAGAATTAACCTCGATAGGTTTTTGCAATTTAATTTTTTCAATCAATTCTTCGACTGTTTTTGAACTATATGGTGCTTTTCCAAATAAACACTCATATATGATTACACCAATGGACCATAAATCAACTTTAGCATCATAATCTTGAAGTAATAACATTTCAGGAGCCATATATAAAGGCGAACCTCTTAATGAATTTTGTTTTTCCTGTAAACTTAGAAATTGAGAAAACCCAAAATCTAAAATCAAAAAACTAAACAATTACTAACAAAATTATGGAAATTATTTGAAATATATTTAAAAAAATATGTACCAGCTAATTTTAATGTTAAAGTCGGTTTTGTACTTAACAACAAATTTTGAGGTTTTAAATCCATGTGTGAAATGTTATTATTTCTTAAATATTTAATTGCTAAAGCTAATTGCTGCAAAAATTTTTTGCAAGTTCGTTCTGATAATTTTTTACATTTTTTTATATAACCTGATAAATCCCCTCCATCACAGTATTCTAAAATTATATAAATATGGGTCTGATCCCAAAAAAAATTTTTCATTTCTACTATATTGTCATGTTTCAGTAGTTTCAGCACTTTAATTTCTGTTATAACATTGTCAACAGCTGAGCCTTTTAAAATACTTCTTTCTATACATTTTATGGCTACAATTTCTTTATTCCCAGTCTAAAAATTTAACAAATCATTATTATTATGAGTTTCTTTCTGGAATTTGAACTGGAATTTAGTATCAGGTTTTAAGCTGTCTTAGAAGAAAAATTTCTGCACTATTTATTAGCTTCTAATAAACTTTTAACAAGTTCTACTTTACATTAATTTAATTAATAAATAAAATTTATAAGAGTTTAAGTTTTTTTTATTGTAAAGTATATAATAAAAATAAATGCCGCGAGAAAAATTAAAATAAAATTGTAAGATTTAAAATTGTAAGTACCTTACAAGCGGCTTTATAGACGGTCGAATAACTCCCTGAACCTAATGTTTCCAAGATAGAAAAGCCATCAATTTTCGGAGTTGGTTTTCTTTTAAAAGAACCACTCATTTCAAATAAAACAAAAATACGGAGGGTCAGAATTCAAGCATTTGTGGCTTAACATTTTGAAAAGTTATAAGATCTACAAATTACTTTGCAAACAATGCTACCAACCAATGAAACTGTTACTTTTAAGTTATGAATCAATGTTCAAACCTATTTAAAAAAAAAAAAAAAAAATTAAAATGGTCTGTTTGCTGTTAATTTTAACCATTAAAATTTTTTTAAAACCTACATAAAAGAACTTTCACTTGTTTTAATATCCCTTACTTTGTTAAATTGTTTAGGTTGTTTTATTATTTCAACAAATTCTTCCCAAATTATTTGCAAGGAGATTTTTGTCCATTTCTTTTTATTACTTTCGAGTTTTTTTACTTGCATATTTAATTGTCAAAATTCAATTTTATTAATTACAATGAATCAGCACAAAAAATAAATAAAAACACATACACACTTATTTGTATGTATGTCATGTATTTATTTTTTATGTATCAATTCATACAATTATTTATTTGCTTTTTTTCGCTTTCTAAATAAAACTAATTTTGTTAAAAAAAGAGACAAATCAAAAGCAAGATACAAATAGTACACAAAAAATGATATATATATATATATTTTATATTATTGTAAACTTAAATACATTTAAAAGTATAATTTTAATATTTAAAAAATCCTGTTTGTATCAAAATTTGCTAGTAAAATAAAAAAAAAATTTTTTACGTTTAAAATTCAAATATACAAGATTATACTTATTTTTCCCAAAGTTGATATTTGTAGTTTTAAATTATATTACTTCTAATAGTTTTTAATTAAAAATGCTTTTTATATCTTGAATAGTATGCAATTATATTCACCAATGTAAACAATTTAAAGAAAAAAAACTAAAAAATTGTTAATGAGAATAAACAATTCACAAAATAAAATAAAATAGTTATTACGATAATAAAACAAATTATTATTATAAATAAATTTAAATTGACATACTTTGAATAAGTGCTCTCGGTTCAATTAGAATTTGAGTTAAACTCAAGTCAACCTATATGATTACCAATTTTTAAATAATTTATTTAATAATTACCTTAATGAAGTTCATAATTTTATTAAATAAACAATTTAAGAATCATTTTTTACTTTTTTGAATGTCGGTTATATATTTTAATAATACTTTTTCTTTATGTTTTATTCCTTCTATTTGCTTTTCAAAGTATTGGTTTAATATAATTTTTCTAATATCAAATAAAAGTATTAAGAAATCTTCAACAGTCGGATTGGTTTTTTTTTTGAAAATCACAAATGGGCATTTGCTACCTCTTTTGACATGCTCTTGCCATGGATCATCATTTTTTTCCCAATCACTAAGCTCTTTGAAACAGGCAAAACATTTTACATTATCTGGAAATTTAACTGAACTACTATTATAAAAGCCAGCCTCAGCAAAATTTTTAGGTGTACAAAATTTAAATCCTTTTAAGTCTTTCCAATGTTCATTAAATGTTTCTAGTCTATCTTTTTCAAATAGCATTTTCTTCGAATGCTGGACTTGTTTCTCAATCTCAGGGCAAGCTATTTCTTCCATTCTAGAAAATAAAATAAATTTTTAAAAAACAGAAATAAGTTTTACATTGTAAATTAAACTAATACATGAAAAAAAAAAAAATTATTTAAATAAAGGAACCCTATATACCTTTGTCTCTAAGTTAGCGCCGAAAGCTTTGAGACAAAAAAATGCTTGTTATCCTTAAATAAATTATAAAGAACGCAATTTAAATAAACAACTCAACCCTTATTTATATTGTTTTTAAATAAACTGCTTTTTAAAATTAAAACATACGTTTTTTATAAATTAAATGTATTGTATTTAGCATTGACGTTATGCATCCGTTAAGTTTTTAAGCTTCTATATTTAAAAATATTAAATCAAAGGAAAACAAAAATCGTGGCACTAGATGATATTTATACTGTATTTGTAACGGTTTTGTTTTAAAAATAAATTTTTTATTAATTTTTTTTAAGTTAAAATTTTTCTAATAAGCACAAAGCTAGACAATAGTAATAAATAAGTAATTAATATATTAGAATATTTTATTATTAGATTAAATCTACACAATCCTTATAAAAAACTGATAAGCCTGTAACATCCAGTAAGTTATTTTTGGAAAACAGAAATAGCAAAATACAAAAATAAATTTTTGGTTAATATTTTGAATTTAATTTATGTATTTGGAATTATATATTAATTTTTAAAAAAATTGTCATAATATTTTAATTTAAGTATAATTTTTGTTTAGTTTTTACTTATGAAATGCTTTTCAAAATGAAAACTTTTCCCTTAATTTCATTTTTAATGTATACTTTCTTTGATTTATTGATATAATCTTGAAAAACACATAAATAATTTTTAAAAAATGAAAATGTGATACTTTTAATATGTTATTATTTATTTTTATTATTTAAATTTTTTTGGTTTAATAAATTTAAAATTTAAAATCCTCTTATAATTTTTGTATTTTAAAGGAATTTTTTTTTTAGGTATGTAATTATTATAACTCACTTAAATCGAATTAATCATGTGTTACCAATAATATGTTATTCAATTTATTCTTAAAGAATAAATAAAAAATAATGAATTCTGTCAAAAATACCTTCCATGCTGATTTTGAAATACTTGAAACATATTATAAAACTCATGGAGGAGGTCAAACTCAACAATTTAAATTAAATAAAGACTTTTCTGAAATAGAATCAGATTTTAATTACTTAATCCAGGCACATGAAAGTGAAATAGAAATTTTGGATGAAAACAAAAGTTTGGCAAGTATTAGTTGTGTTAAACATTTTTGATTTAGAGAAATATGAATAAGCCTTTTTCTCTTTATTAATTTTAATTATTAAGTGTTGTTTTAAATTTTATTATTTATAAATATTAATTTTATTAAAATTTGATAATTATTAATTTCATGATTATTAAATTAAAAATAAAAAAATTCTTAAATAAATTTTTACAGAAAAGCAATGGAATAAAAAATGAAAGTATTATTTCTCCAGTTTTGTGTAAATCGAAAAATGGTGTCTTTGTTTCTACTCCCATTAGAAAAAAATGTTTGCTTCAAACATTAAATGACTTTAAAGAGAAAAAAAATTCAAATCAAGGCAATTCAAAACATTTTACTGAAAATTCTTCAAAATTTAATTATGAATATGCAGATTTTGACTTATTCGAAGATTGGGATATTGATATATCCCAAAAGAAAAATGAAGACAATAAAAATTTAATTATCTTGCCTCAGACTGCCATAGATACTTCTGCTGATTTATTTACTATGCATAATATTAGTATAGAAAAATGTGCCATTGAAAATTTATTTACAGAATCATTTAATTTATCTCAAACTGAATCAAATGTAAAATTTTCATCAGGTATTTAAACCTAAATTTTATGATCAAAATTCTTACTGATCTTTCTGATTTATGTGCTTGACTAATTAATAGATAATAATATTAATTGTAACAATTCACTTACAGCTCATAAACTTCAGTTAGAAAACAAAGAAATAGAATCTTGTGCAAAGCCTGGAATTGAATTTGATAGTGACAATAGTTTTGATGCTTTTTTAAAAACAAGTTTCATTGAAAACATTGATACAAATGAAGTGTTAAATAAAAAACCAAAGCAATATTTTACCCCATTAAAAATAAAAAAAAATACCATTGACATTGTAATTCCTAATGATGTTGAAGAGGATGATGATGAAGTTTTGTATTATCCGAAAAAAAGAAAAAAATTATTTGTAAGTGATGAATCTGACACTGATGAATGTTATCCAAAGGAAATAGTTAATAGAAAATATGACATGGTTGATGAAAAAGAGGTATTTAAAGTAGATTTAAAATATTACATTAACGTTCATGAATATTACATTCTTCATGATATTTCTTTAAATAATTTTTTTATTTTATTATATTTTCATTAGACTTTTTTAGATTAACCTAATACTGTAATTGTATAAATTTGAATGCTTTTAATATTTATGCTATTTAATGCTTGATATTTAAATTATAAACAGGAACAACTAGAAAAACAATATTTAGATGAAGAAGCTGAAATAATAGATAAAAGTAATTTCTCTAGCGATGAAGAGATTGAAAAAGATGATAATTATGATCAAAGTTTTGTTGATGATAATTCATATTTGACACAAAACACTGCTTGTGATATGACATCAAAATATTTAGAATCTGTTAAAACTACAAACAATAAACAAGGAATATTTAAAATACCTAATTTAAAACCATATTATGTGGAAGATGTTTACAGTCAGATGTCTCCTGAAACTCATTCAGATTATGAAATTGTAAGTTATTAAGTTATTAACTTGTATTTTCTTTTTCTGTACTAATACCTACAAGAATTTTTTTAAACTTAAAAAATCTTTAAACTTTTTTTCAGGATTCTTTCTGTGTAAATGAAGTTGAATATGATCGTAGTGAACTTTCGGCTTTAGAAATTGCAGAACAAGTTTTAGAAATGGAAAGAAAAAAAAAAAGAAAAAATAAATATAGAAAATTTTAATTTTACAAAATAAATTATAAATGTATTTTTTAATTTATTTTTATGGTTATCATTATTAAATCAACTTATTTTTTAATTTAATTATATACATTTTATATGATTTTAAACAGTGCGCAGCATTAAATTTAGTATATATTGATATTGTATTGACAATTTCCGTTAAAAATAAGGATAATGAAATGCTTATTAAAGTTTGAACAAAAATTTGGGTAATCATATATAAAAATTTTTCTTATTTATTTAAACAAATTATTTTTTACAAATATCGATAATTTTTTTTTTTAAAGAAAGGATTATAAAATAAGAATTTGAATTTATGTGATTTTTTTAGCTATTTTTTTTGTACACCTTAGATAAATTTATAACGAAAAACTACTTTTGACATACTCTATTGATAACTAACTAACTTGTGCCACGTTTAAAAAAGTACCAAAATCCTTTAATTAACAAAATGACGTCCGTTGAGGAATCGGTATTTGACGTTTTAAAAAATGATGGTAAATGCCGCTTTTGTTGAAAGTTTTATTAATATTATCTTCCATTTTATTTAATTTATAATGCTTATTCTTTTGTTTAGATTTTCTCAAAAACTTTATAACCCCAAGTAACAATGTTTCAATGGAACAATGTAGTCAGATTTTATCAGTTAATGAGCAGGTTTTAAAGTTATGTGAAGGTATTGAAGCATTAAATAAAGAAATACAAAGACAAGTATCTGAAAATCATGAAGATTTACTATTTCATGCTACTTGGATAGAAAAACTTGAAGACGTAATGGAAATGATGTCGGTACATATGCAGGTATGCATTAATACAAAATAAATCTACATTTTTTTCTTATTTTTTTTTAATTATCCGGTACGTCCGTTTTTTTAGTCCTTGATTTCAGGCACAGAACGTATTTCATCTAAAATAATAGAACCTTTTCAAAAAATGGAACAGCAAAATTTAATTATGGAAAATATCTTAAAAACTTTGGACATTTTAAGAAAAATCGCTAGAGTATTAGTTGTTTCTCATCGATTGCCACTTCACATTTCTTCTGAAGCTGACATCCTTAAAATTTCTCAAAATATTAGAGAACTTGGTAAAAAAAATTTTTTTATTAGAAACTTTTATTGTATTATTGAATTTTACTTTGCTTAGAATTAATATAAAATTTACTCGAAAATAAATTTCTTTATATTTTTTTTAGATCAACTCTGGGTTGAAAAGGATTTATCCAATTTAAAAATTTTAGAATCGAATCAAAGGACATTAAAAACCATCAGAAATGATGTAAGTGAAAAAACAAAAGTACAACTTGTATCAGGCATAAAAAAGCAAAAAATGGAACAAATTAGTCAATCTGTTCAAATATTGTATAATTTAAATATGCTTGTGACTTCAGTTAGTGATTTTGTAAATTCTTCGTTAAACTCGTTAAAACAATTAATTACTGATAATTTAAATACTTTATTGGATTCAGCAAAACCTAAAAGTGGATCCAGTACAGAATTATCTAAACGAGGCCCAGGAAAAGCTGCAATGCCATCAATGGGGAACACACTGTCATTTCGTCCTAGACTGTGGTCAGCTCTTGATGAAATATTTGATGTTATTTATTCATATGCTATTGAAATTGAAATTTTAGAGGCTAGTTTATATCAAAGCAAAAATGACTTTACAAACATAAAATCTCAGAATTTTATCGAAATATTTCCTGAAAATAAAAGGGAAATCACTCAAAATTTTTGGTTGTCGATTAATTCATATTTAGGCGATCAACTCATTAAAAGTTCCAAGTCTTGCAAATTTATAAGGGAAGCATTAGAAGGAGAATACCCTAGATTTTTGAGATTATACATAGATCTATGTAAAAAATTACAAACATATGAAAAACCGGAAAATTTTTCTTATAATTTTGTTATATGTAAAAATGTAATAGCAACATTCGAGCAGGCTTACCTATCTAACCTGGATTCAGTTGTTTCATTTCCTGTGCATAATATGTTTTCTTTGGATGTCGTACCCAAACTCGTGCCCAGCACAGAAGACATTGATACTTTAATAAGAATCATTAGGAGGTTAGCTTTTTTCTGTAATTTTTTTCAGACTATTTTACTTAAAACACAAAAAAAAAAGGATTTTGTTATTTATTGGAGTTTAAAAATTTATTTTTAGTGAACTTTCTGTAGCTTTGTTTGATGCAAATTTAAGTTCTACAATTGCTAGAAATATTACCAAATCAATTGGAATATTTTGTAATCTTTGCGAAGAACATATTGTTGTTCAGGGACCAGATGCTGTTCAAGTTATAGGTATTGTCACAAACTTATTTTGTTTGCTTTTTTAGATATTTTTGCTTAAAATTGACTTTTTCTTAGTTTAAATTTGAATTCAATATTTTTATACCATTAGTATAAAAATTTGTATTTTTTTTTTTTCTAGGTCCCAGAAAAGCAGCACAAGATAGAAATATTGAAATTTCAAATCGTTTGGAATATTTAAAATTGAAATTAAAAAGTGTTACATCTAATTTAGGAAAAAATACAGATGCAGCAGACATTTTAAATTTATCATTGGTCACTTATGCAGATAGTTTGATCACAAAAATAATTAGCGGAATGCTTGATTCGATTGTGCAAGCCATTAAGAAAATAATTTCGACTATTCATGTGGAAGATTTTTCTAGGTATGTACCAAATAAATAAAAAAAATAAACTTGGTGAAATAGTGAAGTTTTTTTTTTTTTAGGGAAGAAGAAAAAGAAAATTCTATTTCTCTGTATATGAGAGAACTAACTGCATTTGTTTCAAGGGCATATAGTAATTATTTGAAACCTTTTGAAAGTCAAGATGTATTAAAAAAATGTTGTGCAGAATCGGGAATGAGTTGTATAAAATTCTTTTTGAGGCACATTTCATTAATTAGGCCTCTGGGCTCAGGAGGTAGGGTTAGACTCGTATCAGATTGCACAGAGGTAACTAATTTTTTTTTATTATTATATTTATTATTGTATTGAAAGACTTGATCGCAATAAATAAATAAATTTTTTTTTTTGTTTTATTTTGAGTTTGAAACAGCCATGATGGTATTTTTGGGAGATGAACCAAAGTCCTACAGAATGTTGAGAGTGTTCAAGTTGATTTTGTCTCAATCTCCACAAGAAATTTTAAATAATTCTGCCATAGGAGAAACCATACCGTACAGCCTAGTTTTATTTTATTTATTTTCTTACGCTCCAGAAGAAATGAAATCACCACATGAGGTAAAAATTAATTTTTTTATTAATAAATACTTTAAAATTTTTTTATAAACAATAATTTTTATTATTTTTGCGACAGAGTGGAATCGATCCGAGAATAAAATCTATTGAATCATTATCTGAATATTTAGACAATCACGAATCTGAAAGAGAAAAAATTGATTTGATTAATCGCACAATGGCGAAATATTGCGAGTCCGTGCGACAAATTCCAGGGAAAAATTTTGATTCAATTTATGGAGTAATGGCTCACTTAATTCAGAAATTTAGATCCACAATTTAGAGTATATATTATTATTATTATTATTATTATTATTATTATATTGATTTTGTATGAATTATAATAGTTTAACGGAAGAGAAAATTTTTTTTATTTTAAAAATTAAATAATAAAAATTCGTTATACTACGTTGGTCAATGTAACGTTTTAATAAACGTTGCAATTGGCAAACAAAAAAAAAAACGTTTTTATAACCGTAAACACGGTTTATTTTTTAAAAAAAAAAAAACATGTTTTCAACATTCCTAAAAAATAAAACTTGAGATTTTATTTTGTATGCACATTAATTAAAAAAATATTTTTATTAGTTTTAGTTAAAAATTTATTTGAAAATTCTGGAGAATTTAACCGAATCATTTGCCATATGAATACAAATGTGAAGCAGCCATTTTGAAATATTTCGAAGGGGAAAAGAATAATATAGAAAAACATTAAAAAAGGTGGGTTTTTTTTATGAGAAAAAAAAAAATTATAAATGCGACATTAATAATTAATTTATTTTCACATAGATACATATACACTTAATAATAATATTATTATATTTCAGTTCATCATTAATTTATTTTAAATGTTTTTATTTATTCTCTCACAAAATTTATATATAATAAATTATGATATAAATATCTAAATAATTAAAAAATACAAATTATAATTTACAACGTGATATCATTTATAATTGAATTATCATTCGATAAAAATTTAAAAAAAAAAAAAAAAATGTCAATTTAATTTTTCTCATTAATTGTAATTTAATTTCAAATGAATCAGACGAAACTTTAAATTTTATAAAAAAAAAAAATCTTTTGTTGAATATAATATGGCACATTAAATGTAAAATTTATTTAAAATGAAAACATAATTATTTGAATTATTTTTTTATAGCTGGATTTAAAGGAATACTGTCTGTTTTTCCATAAAATAATAATAATAATAATATCGATTGATAACAAGGATTTATGATGGCGATTGATAATCATTATAAATTTTTTTTGTTTTTTAAAGAAAAAAAAAGTCTTGAGAAAAATTTAAAATAAATATTTATTTAAATTGAAGAAAATGGTAAGGGAGGTACACAAGGTAAAAATTATTATGGATAAAAATATCATTTTTTTTTTTTTAATATTATTATTATTTAAGTCTCGTCCGTATCGAAATCAAATTGATATTTTCTACTCCTGTGACTTTTTTTATTTTTTGAATTTTTTTTTTTCCTTAACTTTGGTACCACTTCGCAACTACATCCCGATCTGACTCTTATGTAATCCATTTTCCAGTCTTTAGACATGAAATTTCCCCGTTCGTGATGATGACGGGTAACGGTTCCGCTATGACCTGACACAGTCGTATCTCTCACTAAAGCATACGTGTAAGAATACTTTTGCACACATCTACTTTGGTTATAGAGCTTTCTATCGAGAAATCTGCAAGGTTTATTCGTTACGTCTTCCCTGCAAGATCTCTCGTAAAACCTTTGTCTGTTTTCACCGTCACTATATAGTTCAACGTAGATGTCATCTAGATTTTTACCACCTTCCGGTTCAATCATATCAAGAACCGATGGACAACACTCAACTGCGTGTCCTTCTTCACCGCCTTCTTGTCGTAAAAGCATTAGATGATCACGGTGTGTCAGCCAGGGCCGACTTTCGCTTTCTTCAAATTCAAATCCGTTTGCTTTGGAAAACGACCTGAAACAATATTTAAAAAAAAATTTTTACAATAAAAAATTGTTGATGATGGTAGATTTAAAAGAGACCAAAAACCAAGGGACAAGAAAGAACAAACGTCGCACCAAAAAACCTGCTCATAATTCACTCTTAATAGTTTGTTGTTTCTCCCCGGATCCACTTTGTATTCATTAAAATATTTGTTTTTAAAAAAAAATTAAATTTAGAACAAATTATATTAATGGTTTTTGTTATTAATTTATAACATTTGTCAAAATTTTTTTTTTTTATTTAAAAAATTACATTTTTAACTAACAACCGACCGTCTTTTTATTATAAATTGTAAATAGTTTGAAATTTTTCTTTTTTGAAGGTAAATAATACTCCTTTCATTGATGACGTCATCATCTTAAACAATAATTTACATGAGGATACCATTGGATTTTTATATATTTGGCAATATTTTCTAAACTGTTGGAAAGGAAAGGACAAATATTGAGGGGGAGAGGGGAGAAGGGAAAACGCTTACATATTATTAAAAAAGCGGTTTTGAAAAGAAGAAGAAGAAAGGAAAACTCTTAACAAGTATGTTATTCGCCTCATTATAAGAATAAAAACGTTAAGAATAATAATTAAAAAAGAAGAAGATGATGAAGAAGTAGAAATACTTAAAATTTTTTTTTTTTTATTAATCTGCGTTATTATTATTATTATTATTTTTTTTTTTTTTAGAAAGCTTATAAAAAAATGTTTTTTTTTTTTTTCATTTAATTTTCGGTAGTCACCGTGATGCGTGCATCAACATTTAATTTAAATGGGAGTTACCGAGTCGTGATTTATTAAATTGTTGTTCTTGTCTTTATTTAAACATTCGTCGGATTTTCAACGGAAAACTTTTTATGAAATTCAGATTGATGTTTGTTATCTTACATCATACAAAAAAAAAAAAAAAAAAAAAAAAAAAACCTTTAATGTTTTCCGATTCTACGCCCGGGTGGTCTTTTCTTTCTTTTTTTTTTTTTTTTAAATGATCCATTTTGTAATTTTGGTACCCAAGTCATTCGGTCTCTTTATTTAATGCTTTTACACCCACATATATACTTTCGGTAAAAATTTTTCAAATGCAATTCTTGACCTAGGTACTTATTATTATTATTGACGAAGCATTTTACAAAAATTTACCCGGCAAAAATTTTTTTTTTTTTTTGCAATATCATCGTTAACCTTTTTAATGAATTGATTTTAAACCTTTTTTTAGAGTCTTCCTAGGAATCTGGGGATACGTACGAGAAAAAGCTCCGATGATAATATATGAAAAATTAAACAGAAAACAGGTTCGCATTTTTTTTACATAACTTTATTAAAATTTTTTTAATTCAATCAATCAATCAATCAATCAATCTTATCGATTATTTCAGGTAAAAAAAAAAAAAAATCGGTCAAGAAATGAAAGAAAAAAATAAATAAATAAATATTCATCAAACTTATGGAGCATTTAGTATTCTTCTCCTGTCCGGAAAAAAATTACATAAATACATATTATTTAAGGTACGTAGAAACTTCTCCCAGGTTGTTACATATAAAAATTATTAACTTTTGTCAAAAACAATTTAATAATCAATTATTTTTATTATTATTATTATTTTCAATACTACAACATTCTTCATTTCAAACGAAAGGGATAAAAAAAAAAAAAAAAAAAAAAAACATTGTCAGACTTAAAACAATTTCGGATTATAAGCTTCGGGCTTTTTTTATTTATTATTATTATTATTTTTATTTATGTCGAAAACAATACAGATGAACAGAATATAATAAATAATTGTCGATAAATCGATGACCACGAGTTTCAATAAATAAATAAATAAATAATTGATTTTTTAAAGGGATTCGATCATGATAAGACGACCATATTGTTATTCCCATCATCGACATATGAATTCATTTAATTCATTTTTTTTTTTAAAGACCCATCAATGATTGATTCGATTAAAATTGTCAGTCTTATTATTATTATTATTATTATTATCGTGTACATAATTTAGATTTTAAAAAATTTATTCTTTTATTTTTGGTCACGTTTTTTTTTAAATTTAATTATTTATATCGATGTTAATCGTAGTTAGAGGAATTACTTAGGAAGTTTTTCTCCTTATCGCGACATAATAATAATAATAATAATAATAATAATAATTTTTACGTTTGCTAATATCATCATCATCATCATCATTGATTGTAATTCTTAAAAAAATTCACTTTGTTATTGTTATGTCGTGGGTACAAATTGTATAAATGTAGGACAAAAAGTCGTTTATTTCTAAAAAGTTTACCATAAAAAGCGAAATAAATAAATAAAATAAATAAATAAATAAATAAAAATAATTAATTATTTTTACGGTACAAAAAGATCCGAAAAATTTATATGGAAACTTACCAGTCAGAAATCTTGTGTTCTCTGCGATTACCAGATCTTCGAGATTTCTGGCCGAATAATATCTGATCGTTTTGCTGTGACAAACAGGGAAACAAAATGGCGGCCAGGAAGAGCACCTACAACATAAAGATATTTTAATAATAAATAAAATCCTCAAAAATGTTTTTTCTTTTTTTAATTTTTTTTTTTAAAAAACAAGTGACACATTTAAACTAGGTACATTTATTGTTCTGTTAATTTTTTTTTTATTTTTTTTATTTTAGGTGTGTGTGTGTGTGTGCGTGTGTTTGTGTGTGTGTTTGTGTGTGTGTGCGTGTGAGTATGTGTGTTGTATGAAACTCTTACAGCATACTTGTGTCACTTTCGGCTCCTGTAAAACTTTATTATATTTAATGGGATAAATATTTTAATTAGGTAACTTGTATTTCCTCCCACTTACTAATTAATCAAAAATAATAATAATAATAATAACTTTATATCAACACACACTTTAATACTTTTCATCGCATCCATAAAAGTAATTTTGTTCGCAATAAAAAAGTAAAAAGGTAACGAATGAGAAAAAAATTTTTCATTTTTTTTTTTTTTTTGTTTACAGAGAAATCTGTTGTGTGGTGACTTTCCATATTATTATGACCTGATGTAAATATTTGTAAGATGCCATAACTATTTTTACAAGAGGTTAAATTGTACAGAAGTCATCCCATTTTGAGGAGTGTCAAGAAGAATTTATTTCGAGAGGGAACTCGAAGAACAGATTTTGACACTTAACTTATTTAATGATGTACCAGGTATGTAAGTAAAAAAATAATAATAAATTTTCAACGGTTATCACTTTCGATATGTATTGAGTTATCGAAAGGAGAAATAGTAGGAGGTGGAGGAGGGATCAGGGGAGAAGGACGAGGAGGAGGTCGTATCGGACATTTATTTATTTTTTCCCCCGTCCTTTTATATTATTGTTTTAATTTTTTTTTTCTTTTTTATGATTGAACCCATCGTTATTTTTTTTTTTTTTTTTTAAACGTGGATTTATTTAATCGTAGACATGAGAACGTTAATTAATAATGGCGAGTTAATAATAATAATAATACTGTTTTTTTTTTGATTTATTTATCGTTTGACATGATTAACTTTTGGTGTGTGTGTGTGTGAGTGAGTGAGAGCTCTTGAAAATTTTTCGCAAAGTAATTTATTGTAATTTAATGGAATTCCATTTTGGAATTTTCCAAAACTTTTAAAACATTTTTTTTTTGATTTTAACAATGCAGAGAAATTAATAAGAAACATTTGGGAAAGGAAACCCTATGTAAAATAGGTTTTACATAGAATTATTATGAATTGTCACCTTGACATTTAGTTTTAGTAAACTTTTTTTTTTTTTTTTTTTTTTTTTTTTTTTTACAGAGCAAAGATAGAGACAAAGATATCAATAATGTATATATACGTGGGCTTTTTTGGTTTAAATGATAGTTTTTTTTTTTTTTTTTTTTTTTAAACTTGACAACGATTTTATTTTTTTGGTCAGAGAAAAAATTTCAGGTTTTTTTTTTTTTTAAATGCACAAAATTTATTTCATTTATCAGAGGCATTAGTTAAAGAAATAATCAATTTATTAAATATGTCTCGTACGTAAAAAAAAAAAAAAAACCTGTAGGTTTAAACTTGCTACTTTTTCCCACCACAAAAAAAAACCATAATGTCTTTTTTTTTTTTTTTTTCTATGACGTCATCTTATAATTTCTTTTGCCAAAAAACCTGCCGAAATAATTTTTAATAAATATTTTTTAAAATAATTAAAATTTTAATAAAATCGTTTCGAATGCTTTTAAGTAGTTTTGTGTGTGTGTGTGTGTGTGCGCGTTTGCCGTACATAAAAGAACGGAAAAATTTTATTTGTTAGATATACTAATAATAGGTTAATGATAATAAAACAGTATTAAATAAGACATCAAAAAAAAAAATACCTGATTTCTCTCAAAGGATCAATTTTTACTGTCAAATATAAAAACGTAAACGCAAATTATATTTTTACTTTCAAAATGATTGCAGCTGTTTTTTTTTTTTTTTTTTTTTTACATTTAGTTAGTAAAAATCGTAAACTTGATTTAATAAGAGAAACTTTAAATTTATGTTTTAAATTTATACAACAACAACAACAAAAAAAATTAAATAAAAAAAATACGCGCGACAGGGTATCTCCTCCATCCATCCATCCAGTAAAAATTTTTTTTTTTTTTTAATATCTCCTCTGAGTATTTTGTATACCACCATTTTTATATTTATGTCATTCAATATATATATATATAAACGTGGTATTATTATTATTATTATTACAAGTCAATTTTGCGGTTTTCCGTTTGGATTTTACGACGTTTTTAAATTAAATTAATATGTCGGTAGTAGTACTTAAAGAAGAAGAAGAAAGAAAAACAAAATAAAAAATTAGTAAAACATGTGTAATTTGTGTAGTTAATTATGAAATGATAAAATGTCAAACAAAAATAAATT